TCTTGTGCTTACTCTCCCCCCTGTCCAGAAAGTGGCCAGGCAGTCCAGAACTGAGATGTAGTTTTTAAGGATGCCACCTGGGACTTCTTTTAATTTGGTTTTCTTCAAATTGTCATTGTGTTTTGATATATTTGAATTTTTAATGTTTCTTACATTTGTTTTATGGCTTTGGGCCTCGGCTGTACATTGCCAAGAGCCCAGTAAAGCTGGGATGGGATGATTAATTAATTAATTATTTAATTAATAATGTATTTTATGTACTATTTTAAATTCTGATTTTTTGTAAAATTCTTGTAATTTTATTGTTGTTGTACACTGCCCTGAGCCCTGTTTTTCAGGGGAGGGTGGTCTAACAATCAAACTTAATAAATAAATAAAGCCAGCTGGGTGACCTTGGGCCAGTTGCAGTTCTTTCAGAGCTCTCTCAGCCCCACCAATTTAATTTATTGAGACATTTCCAGTTTTAAACAAGAAAATGAAAAGCAGGTTGCTTACCAGTAACTTGTTATCTTCGAGTGGTCTTCTGTGCATTCACACCCATGGGATCTAGTGCACACGCACTGGATCGATCGGTGCTGTAGCAAGCTCTTTTAACGGATTTTTGCACCAGGCATGCGCAGGAACCCCACCGCACATGTCCAGTGGGGTGGGCGCGGACATCCCGCCAGTTCCTACAAACTGCCACAAATCAACCCCTATTAAAAAATGTAGAAGCTGACAGCAGCGGGGAAGGAGGGCGGGTGGTGTGAATGCACAGATGACCACTCGAAGATCACCAGTTACTGGTAAACAACCTGCTTATCTTCGATGTGGTCTCTGTGCTTCACACCCATGGGAGATTAGCGAGCAGTAGCCTACCTGGAGGAGAGTGCTAGCAGGTCTTTTACTGCATAGCCAAAGACAAAATGTGACGTCCCATGTTGGTACTGGTGTTGGTATACACCATGTGATGTCCACTGTCCAGGACAAATCCAACAACTTCTCAGTCACAATCTCAGGCAGGGTTTAATTCAAAATACAATGTTTATTCAATCCAGCTATCACCAGGTAACACAACGTGTTTCTCCAAGCAAGTAGAGGACTGATAAAACCCACTCTGCTAATGGCCTGCAGGTGGACATAACAACTCCAAGTGATCTTAAAGATACATTACACCACAGTCATAGACTTCACTCTCCAGCCATTTCCTCCACAAGAACCACCATTGCCAGTCTCCAGGTGAGGACTGGAGATCACCCAGAATTACAACTGTTGTCCAGGCGACAGAGATCAGTTTCCTGGGATAAAATGGCTGTTTTGGAGGGTTGAGTCTATGGCATCATACGCTGCTAAGGCTACTTGCCATCCCAAGCCTCACTGTCCCAAGGCTCCACCCCCAAATCTCCAGGAATTTCCCAACCTGGAGCTGGCAGCCCTAAGGTGAATTGATCTCTGTAGCTGGGAGATCCATTGTGATTCCTGGAGAGCTGCCACTGCTGCTGTGTGGGGAGAGGAAGCAGGTGGGTGGCTAGGAGCATTGCCATCGCTGCTGCTGCTCTGCAGAGTGGGGGAGGAAGCAGGCAGGAGGCTGGGAGAGTGATGGGGCAGAAAAAATGGGGTGGGGGCAGAAAGAGAGAGAAAGACTGATGAAGTGGGGAGGCAGAAAAACAAAGAAAGATGACAGGTCAGAAAGAGAGAGGAAGTCACATGCATGGAGGAGAACTAGAGAGTAAGAAAAGGGGGGCAGAGGGGAGAAATAGTGTGAGAGAGGTAGGGGGTGAGGAGAGGAAGCAAAGGTGTGATGAATGAGATAACCATCCCGCAAGTTTCTTGCGGGTCTCCACTTGTGTTTAATAATTCCTTTTTCCATTCTACCATTTGGCTTATAACTTCCTGGTTCTCCCTAGATCCCTGTTTATCAGTTGGTGTTATGATGGCTAGCTCCATACCTCTGTGTTTTTTCCCCAACCAAATGATCAACTATTTCACAACTTGAGGTCTTTGAAATTGTTTGGTGTATGCTATTTGAATCTGGGTATGTTTAGTTTTAGTGTCTTTCTGTTTAGTGTCTTTCTGTTGTCATGGGGCAGTTAAATAAACAGAAGAACCCCTCACATTTGCATTACTTGGTATCCTCCATTTGGTTACCCATTCCCAGTAATACTACTTCCAAATAAAACCATGTATTTTATAAGTGACTTAGCTTCCATTATATATTTATCTGTGGGAAGCCTAACAGTGAGATTGGTATGTTGAATTTTGCCTCCTGGCAGAAAAGTTTTGGTTAGCAGTGATGTCTCTTGTACAGGTAGTGCTCATTATATTCATTCTCTAACATGGATGTAAACAGTTATTCACATGTGGACTTTTCAAGAAAGATTTGTGAACTAATATTAAGACCCTTCCTCTTTGTGGATCATTCCTCTACATTCCAAGAGGATGACCAATACTAGTGCAGTATTTGCCACTTGCATGACTCTACAAGCATCATCCTTGAAGCACTCAAATGCCAAGCAGGCCACCCATGTGGGGTGTGTGGCGAAAGTGTTTATTTAATCTGCCTAACTTCAGTGAACAATGTAACTAAAAGCTTGTTTATAATGAGCGAAGTCTAAGGACTACAGTAACCACTAGCATAAAACAGGTGACTGCAGCAGTTCAGCTGACATGTGCTATTTCCACATAGTTTGTGAGCAGTGTTCCCGCTAAGCTGAGTTAGTGTGAGCTAGCTCACAGTTTTTTAGCCTCCAGCTCATGCATTTTTGTCTTCGCTCAGGAAGGACAGCTCCAGAGCAAACTGATTTATGCAGTAGCCAAATCGCTTGCTCACAACTTTAATGCCAGTAGCTCATGAAGTAGAATTTTTGCTCACAAGACTCCATAGCTTAGAGGGAACATTGTTTGTGAGTACAATTTTCTGCATGTATGCCTTGACAGGTCCATCAGTTATAGTCTATTGAGATTATTGGTGGCTCTGGGCAGCCATATTATATTGTTGCCCCTGTTCTTGCAAATCTAAAGTTATTTGGGTCCTTTAAAAACAAGTAAGCAAGCCCATGAATTCTGGAAAAGCCGTAAAAGAATCTTTCCTGTATTGTTGACCTTAAGTTGCCAGATTCCTTCAGTGCCGTGATAGTTATGAAAGAAGTGTGCCTTGACTCTGCCACCATTTTATTGTTCAGCTGTAGATGAACAGAATGCTCAAACCCAAGAACAAGAGAGCTTTATCCTGGGCCTCTCCACCTCCGAAGAGGGGAAGGAACTGAGGAATGAGAATAAAACCTCCCTGCAATCTTCACACACTGGCAGCTATGGATTTCCAAAAGGGAGGAGCCATCGGAAAGGTAAAATCTAGGTGGCCCAGGTGACTAAATTCATAAGAACTAAAGCAACTGGAGTCAGTGTCACTGTAAGTTCCTCCCTAGCATCTACATTTTATTTTTACATTAACTCAAAGTCAGAAGTTTCTCTCTCAAGTTGCACCATCCCTCGATACATCACCTTGGTTGTAACAATGCAACCAAGACCTCAGCCATACAGCCCAAAAAATCTACAGCAACTAATGTAACAAATAGTCAAGTGGGTGGCTTCTGACAATCACAAAAGCAACAAAAACGAACTTCCTCCCCTACACAAACACACACACACACACGCACTCTCTTGCTCTTTTGCTTGCTACAGTTCCTCACAGGCCCCCAGCCTGTACCAGCTAATAACTTTGAATATATTCATATATAAACTTCAGTTTCTTAATGACTGGAGAATTTGTTTCTTGAAACATTTTTGGTGGCTGAAAAAAAATGTAAGAAAGAACAGAAGGGCTATTCCTGCAACAACAGGAAATCACAAAATAAGCCAAAGCTGCTATGCTATCAGTTAGTTATTAGGGAATGTTAGCTGCTCAGTATATTTAACAGCTGTTCTACCCTGTACCATTTATCTTCACAGCAACTACTTTGTGAGGTTATTTAGGCTGAGGGAGAGAGACTAACCCACGATCACCCAGTGAGCTTTTGTGGTGGAGTAGGGGTCAAAACTGGGTCCCCTGATTCTAGTCTAGCACTAACCATTGTACTATGCTAGTTAGTGATCTGATAGAGGGTACTACTTTCACTAGAATAAGTAAGCCCATAAAGACTTTGTTCAGATAAGCGCCCAGCTGGAAAATGTTGAGACGGCACAGTTTGTAACTAATAGAGTGTTCTCCATCGTTCCCCACTCTGTTTTATTTAATTATTTACTTCTTTCTCCCCAATGAGGACACCCAATGACCTATACCATTCCCCTTTCCTCCATTCTATCCTCCAGTTTAAGCTGTTACTACAGTTTCAGTAACATACTAATGGTATCTGTGGTTTGTGTTTATATCTTACAGTGATCAAGTCTCCTTGTGAAAGATTAATAAGTAAAGGAGGTTTATCAGTGGGAAGCTCTGCCTCTCTCCCTCCCCAGGCAGGAACCCGGGACAATCTGCCAATGCTGAATGCAAAGATCCTCTTCCCCAGTGAGTGTAACACCATCATTCAATTTAGCTCAACTAGAGATGGCATCCCGTTGCTGCTCAGGGCGTAATGTGTTTTTTCCCTATTAATATATTGTTCACACTGCACAAGAATATATTTGGAAGCGAAATAGTGTTGGTGTTGAAGATTCAGTGGAATAGTGTAGACAAAATTCAGAAAAGTCCCAAGAATTAAAAATTGTCTTTGGAGTCAAGGCTGAAGGCAGTTCTGATCCTTCTCCATTGGTTTCTCACACAGTTCAGGTCAGCTTCGATTAATCAACAGTTCAACAGTGTATGAATGTTGCTTTTGCCCAGAAGCTGGTTCATGCCTCTTTGCTTTGAATCTTTGCTTTGAATCATACTCGCTTGTTCATACAGTCTTGCTCCTGTTTGAAACCAATTTCTCAAGCTTTTTATAGTGATGAGCAGATCATGTGAGTAGCAAGTGTTAAAACGTTCAGTTTTTCCAAAGGCTGTACAACGCCATGAAAAAACTGCCATTTTATTGAGGCTTTCTCCTCTTGCATTTCTGATTTGGCGTATGCTTGCTTATAGACAATGTGCAAACCAACTCTGAGGCTCTTCCACACTTTCCATTCTTATAGAAGTTGGTCCCATTTCAGAGCATTAACCCTCCTTCCTGCTTTCTAAATTAAAATAAAAGAGACTATATGGAAAGTTCTTCTTTCCCAAATATGCAGAATTTTCTCAGTATTCGAGAGGATCATAAATAGAAAGAATGTGAGGATGTCTTTGATTTTAAACTGCTGCTGTGTAGAACAAGACTATACTTTTTAATAGTCTGAAGTCTTGGTTTTCTTCCATTGTTTCACAACAGTAAAAATGTGTGTTAATAGTCATGCTCCAGAAATGACATTAGTTGTTGAAATAACATTGATCCTGTTTTGCTAGTTACAAGTATATTCAACCCTGCTGCACATTATAAATTCCATATATATAATTTCCTGTAACTTTTCTGTTTGGTAGATATTCGGGCTGGGGCATCTGGCTCTCTACCTGGAGGATCTGTTATCAGCCGGTTGTTGATCAATGCAGACCCATTTAACTCTGAACCTGAAAATCTGTGAGTATTCAAAGAGAAAGGAAGGGAAAGGGCATCACTTCTGACACTATGTGATTGATAAGGAAATAATTTTAAAAGCAAATAAAAAAGAATATTCTTCTTGCAGCAAGGCTATATGTATTCTCTAACAAACTTATCCTGGACAGTATTTGGATTATACTGAAAATGACAAATGTGAAAACAGCTTTGTTCAGCTCTGACAGAGATGTCTTGTCCTAGAGTTCAAATGAACATGCACGTAAGAATAGCTTCCATCTATCCTGAAGTCCGTTCTCATACACTTTTATTTTATTCAGTGATGACAGCTGCCAAGTTAAGATTAGAGGGGAAACTGAAGTTATCCTCTGCCAAGGAGACTTATAAAACTTTTGATAACCAAGAAGAGTAGGGGACAAATTTAGAAATGTTCAAGGATGAAATATGATTTCATAGCCTATCTTTCTGATTTAGCATAAAGAAAGGCAATTGGAAACCTAAGAGGTTTTATCAGATTAATCAGCCCTGAGAATCACACAAACACAACTGTGGTTCCTGCATTGTATGCAGGAGTAGTTGGTTAGAAAAGGAGGGCTGTGCACAATGGTCTGATGATGACTGAGCATGCTGAAGGAGACATGGAAAGTTGGGGACAGCTGAGTGTCAATTAAAGGAAGAAAAACAGGGGAGAGGATAAAGTCTGTGTAGCATCCTGAAGCAGGATGTTTAGGTCAGGAGAAATTTCCTATTGGGAATAACTTATTACCCTGCAGTTCCTAGGAGACCTCCTACTTTATAAGATATATAAATAAATGCCTTCTGATTTCAGTTAATAATCCAAACCCTTAGTTTTTATTTTTCTGTTTTGTTTTTGCTATATTTCTCTTGGTTGTTGGCCTCATGGAATTTCTGGGAATTTCCTGGGAATTTCTTGGATTTATTTATTTAGAACATTTTTATTTCACCTGTCCAGAAAACCTGCTGAAGGCAACTTACAAGTAAAATACTGGATTTCATTTCTGTTGCTGATAGGAGCATGTGAGGGCTGTTGAAACATTCTACTATGTCTGCCTTGTACTTCACAGTGATTGTTACATAGAGAAATGTGTAATGAACAACTATTTTGGAATTGGATTGGATGCAAAAATCTCTTTGGACTTCAACAACAAGCGTGATGAGCACCCAGAAAAGTGCAGGTAGGTTATCCATTTAAGAGCTCTGGATCTCTTTAGAAACCGTATGGCTTGTTGTGTCAGTTGTAGTTAAGAATCTACTTAGAGACTCATCAAGTTACTTGTATAGATCTCTTATAGTCACACTGGTCAGTGATTATGGTTAACTTGGAAGGAACTGGAATACACTGGATAACCTATTCTTTCAACTTGTTTGGAAGAAGTGATAAGAACTGGATGCAGCAGTTTCTGCTTGTTTTACAACTGCTCTGGAGGATGTGCTTATAGGGCTGCTTTCACTTTTAGAGAACTGGAGGCCATGCTGGTCAAAGTGGATAAGGCACCTGTCTGTGAAATGTATTCTTAGTGATTTGAACACCTGTTCTGAGCTCTGTTTTAGTGGTAAGCCTTACTTAATGCTACCTGTCCTAATGTAATCAATATTCCTGAAGTGCTCAGCATTACTCTGGAGACTGGGACCATCAAGTGTGACACCTATTCTATATGTCTTGTTTAGAAGTTATAGGTGGATAACTGTGATAATTTGCATTGCTGGGTTGTACAATAATTCTGTTTTTCAAGGCTGTTGTTTTTCCTGTAGAAACGAGCATGGTTCATAATACTCCTTTAAAAATTCTTGCTCTAGGAAATTGGATTCCGCTTGGGGAAAAACCAGTATTTTTCACATCAGTGTATCAGGGAGATGAAAAGTACCAGTATTCACAGTTCTCTATGTTCCAAAAACCAGTTTGATATGCAGATCTGAGGGTTCCTGATATTCTTTGGCTTCATTATTCCCTATGGAGAATATTTCCAGTGGGCTGGAGGGGCTGTTTTTTTAGCTAATGGCACCAAAATTGCAGTGGAGTTGCTAGTGCCTGTCCTTTAAATAACCCCCAGATTTCAAGTGAATGGACCAAGAGGCCCCATGCTAGGGACCCTTGAACAAGGTGCCCCCAGCCATTTTCAATTGTGGAGGGGTCCATGCTTTCTCCAGGGCAAAGAATAGCCAAAGACACAAGAGCAAGCAAAGCAACCCCTGACAAAAAGCCACTAAAAGCAGGCAGAGCCAACAAACCCAAAGTACCAATGCAGAACCAGGGGATCTCAGCACAACCCTAGGACAACGCAACAAGCCTAAGATAACAAATGTACAACCTGAGAATCCAACCCAATGTCAAACTAGAGAATCATCCAAGCCAACCTAAGTAGAACTGCTGTTGCAAACCCAACAAATGTACAATCAGAGAATATGAGCCAATAGACAACCCTAGAATTGAAAACAATGTTGAGCTCAGGAATTCACTTCAGAAAGCAAACCTGACACACAGGAACTCACACAAAGAATACAGTGTTGCAAGACCAACAAAAGAAATTTTAAAGGACAGAATCAGAGTCAAACCAATATAACAAGCCGATACCAAGCCCCAGGAAGACAATCCTGGGAGCCTTAAAAAGTTGGCTCTCAGTATTTCCAGTTATTCCAGAATATTTCCAGGATTTTTCAGGACCCATTTCTCGGTATCCCCCCAAAAATCCCGGATACCATCCAGAAACCTGAAAATATCCAGAAAATACCAATAGGATATTTTTTTGTATATATATTGGGCTATATCCAAATGCACACCCCAATCAGGGGTTTCACTGACTTTTTCTTCCTTTGAGCACAAGGGGCTGTAGTATGTGTTGTGGTGTATCGCATTCCGTGTTTCTTTGCTTTCTCTTATCAGAAGTCGTACAAAAAACATGATGTGGTACGGAGTTCTTGGGACTAAGGAGCTGCTACACAGAACTTATAAGAACCTGGAACAGAAAGTTTTGCTAGAGGTAATGGAGTCCAGAGTTGTCCACAGCCAGTTGGCCCTTCAAGTCTGATTCTCCACAGTAAGACAAAAGATATCTGTTGGATCCCTCCATTTTTCTTGTTTGCTTAACCAGTGTGTGTTTTGGCAGTTTCCTTAGGTGTAAAACCTGAATCCATTAATCTACTATATTTTGCTGTTTTCCAATGAACTTTTCTGTCTTACAAAACAGAAATTGTAGACTATGTGTAGCCAAACTGAATGGTTCTATGCCTGCTTGCTTAAACCTTGTTCTTAATTTGAGTGTTCACAGGCTCCTTTCCACTCATTGATGATTATGATGGCTGATAGTAACACCAACAGAGAGTCAATCTATATGTCTAATTCTGAACCTTATTCTAGAGTGCAGATTTAAAAAAACTACACAATGAGGTCAGGTACAGATGGGAGGGATTTTTCTACAGCCCCAAGGTTGCAGCAAATCTGAATTTTAAAAAAATGCACTGGTTTACACCCCTTCTCAAATATAAGCAGTGTCTGTACCTTTAAATAATGAAAACTATTGAGGTCTCATAAGACTATGTTGTGAGAATTCAGTGGTTCAAACAGAAGTACAGAAGGGTGTAGCATATAGGTAGAAAAAAGTGCAGTAAACCACATTGGGCCCATTAATTGAAAGTGATAAATATATTCAAATAATATATACAAAAGAAGACAACGATGCCAATTTTCAGTATTTTTACAGTACATTAATAGTATCAGAAGTATAAAAGAAGCATACAAAAATTAATAAATAAGAGTTGAAAGGTGATTCAAATACAATTAATCCAAAAGGTCAGATGACAGAATTCCATAACAGTATGCTAGAAACAGTTTGTTTTTTGGTATGAGAAGAAAGCTTGTGATTCACTGCTGTGCTTTTTGTTGGTAAATATGGCATTTTTGAAAGAACCAGTATGTACATCTGAAGAAGAATGTTAGAAACAGAGTTCCTAGCATGCCATTATGAAATTTTTTTGTCTGAACTTTTGGATGAGCTGTATTTGAATCATCTTTCAACTATTATCTATTCTATTATCCATTCATTTCTGTATGTTCATTTTGTATGTCTGATACTATTTATATACTGTGACATTGTTATCCTCCATTGTATATATTATTTGAATATGTTTATCATTTTCATTTATTTATTTATTTATTCATTCATTCATTTAGTGGACTCATTGTGATTTATTGCACTTTTCCCACTTCTATGTTACACCCTTCTGTACTTTTTGTTTTGTCTGCAGTTTTTTTTTTTTTTTTTTTAAGAGTTCTTTCCCTCCTTTTTTGATGAGATCTTCATGGCCATTTTGGGAGCTGCTAGAAAACTCAGCAAACACTGCTTAAGGGCTTTTAGTCAGTGTCAGCTGAAGGGGGAGGATGAAACTAAAAAAACCCATAAAAGATTGGAAGGTAATGAAGGAAGCAGGGAAAGGAGAGGAAAGGAGTGAAGGGGTAAAGATCAAAAAAGGGTAGGTGGGAGGCAGGGAAGAGAAAGAAAGGAAGGAAGGAAGGAGGTAGGCTGCTAGAGGAAGGAGGAAAATAGAAGGGGGGAAGATGTACATAGGAAAGGAAGGAGGAGGAAGCTGAAGACTGAGAGCAGAGTCAAGAAAACGAGATGCCATAGGAGTGCCAGAGAGAGGGAAACAGGAAATATTGAAGGGTGGAGAATACAGAAGCAGGGAAGAGACCCCATCCACGAGTCCTCACTCTTGGCAGATATTGTCTGCAACAGTGGAATTCCTATGTGTTAAGCAAGGTTATTGGGGTTTAATACAGCATCAACAAATATCTGTTGTCTGGACAACTGATTCTAGAGAATCAGGTTTCTGTGCTCATTTCTGCTGGAGGAGGTACTGCTTTGTACCCATTTGTTGAGAATACAAAGAAGGGGCTCAGCTGCAAAAGAAGGATATGTATTCTATAACTGAAGTTAATTGGGAAAGACTTCACATCGCTTCATCATCTGCTTTCCTATCTTATTCTTAAAGTGCTATCCCATTTCCAGATGTTATTTTTTCCACAAACAAGTGCATGAGAAATCCAGCTGCCTTTTCTCAGTGCTATTATTTTAGGCATGCTCTGTCTTTTCGGCATCAAAGCTACAGTATTTTGTACGTTGTACTTCTAAAAAGGTTCCTTTTTATTGTAAAAGCTGTACTGCTTGAGGGTAGAAGGGTTCATTATGTAGCCTTTGTAAAACGACAAACGCCTGCAGGGCATCTTTTCCTCACAGCATTAATCTGTTGTGTACGGGACAATTTCTATGCAGGCTTCTCATGGTCTGGAAATGCTTGTGGTCAGAAATTCCATGGAATTTCAGTATGGGTTTCAAAGAACCTGTTTTCCTTATCTGAGGGATCAGTAAGAATGTGGAGAAGGACCAGTGGCCCTTCTTTAAGAAAGCACTGATGTCTTCTCGAAGATATCTTGTTACAGATGTTAAGACCTTTTCCCTTTCCTTCTGTCTTCAGGATTCCTCACTTTGCTGTATCCTTAGACTATCTTTGGTCCATTCTAGCATGTACCATGCTTGGGGATAAGGAGTTTCCTACAAGAGGATGCAATATTCATCCTGCTGTGGGCCATTGCTTTGTTTCTGCAGCATTTGACAGGTGTTTAATCTGCTGATTAAACCTGGGATTGCTTATGGTATAAAAATTGTCTTTGTATCATGCAGTGTGATGGGCGCCCGATCCCTTTGCCTAGTCTTCAAGGAATTGCTGTCCTCAACATCCCCAGTTATGCTGGAGGGACCAACTTCTGGGGAGGCACCAAGGAAGACGATGTGAGTATTTTTGATTTATTTGTGTGTGTGAATAGAAAGGGTAGTCTTTGTTTCATATTTTCTGTTTTGTACAAAATTTCTGAAGCAGTTTTTCATGTGCCTTGAGAGCAAGACAGTCTTTTGAGCCCATAAGAATGCTAAGTGTGCTGGTGAATTGCAGTGTCTATTCATTTTTAGTGCTGAAGTTTTTATACTTCATGCATGCTGTTGCGGTGGTAGCTCAGTCTCTGAGTGATTGTTAAGTTGAGGGCCTGAGGAAATGGCAAGTCACCGAGAGGGCTGCAGAAGCAAGACTCACTTAAGCCAGTCCTGTGGCCCTGCTGTAGTGGTGGCTGCTATGCCAGGTTTACATCGTTGCTGTCCCATACACTTCCAGCACAATAGTAGAAACTAAAATGATACCAGTAGAAACAAGCAGTAGTGTAGCCCAACAAATATTCCTGCAGAACAGCTAGATATGAGTCAAGAAGCACCTTTGAGAGCCAAAACTCATACCCCAAAAATCTTATTGGTCTCTAAGGTGCTATGGGACTTGTATCTGGCTGTTCTACTGCAGACCAACGCAGCTGCTCTCTAAAACATTCCTGCAGTGTCACTGGCAATTCCACCTCCACCTATCAATCTCAATATTACGCTGGCAGTAACTCCCCCATAGTCCCCATGAATAGAAGGTACGGGTTAATATTTGCTGACAGTAGGGTAGTTAGTCCACACTGCCTGCCACTCAGAAGCCTGCCCTGTTGGAAGCCGTTATAGTCTAGCCAAACACACAGTCAGCAGCTATTTACAACCCTTTTTGAAACCCTGTAAGGGAGAAAAGCAGCTCCAGGAGTGTGATTTGGAGTGGAGGAACCATGAGTGGGGAGGGGACCAAGTCCATGCACACGGACACATTGCTTCTCTGCAAATTCCTGCCTCCCCAGATTGTTCCCCCCCCCTTTAAGGTACAGACATCCTGTACATTATTGTGATGCAAAGAAACCCCAGCATCCTTGAAGTAGAAGCTGGATTCCTTTTTCTTCTCTATTTTTCTAGACATTTACAGCTCCGTCTTTTGATGACAAGATTCTCGAAGTGGTAGCAGTGTTTGGTAGTATGCAAATGGCTGTCTCCCGTGTAATTAACCTTCAGCACCATCGGATTGCCCAGGTATTTCATTCTTCTACACATTTCACATGAGGTGGTCTCTGGTCCTTTTCAAGTAGTATTGAATGCTAACTTCAGTAGTTGTATGTACAGCAATTGATGGATGGCCTAAGGCTAATAGAAGCAGTGATCTGCAGTATTAGGCATGGACTGGTTTCTAAATTCTGTTCATGTTCTGACTAGCCACAACAGTCAAACGTCTGCTTTTACAGGAGGAAGGAGGCTGGGAAAACTAGTAATTGCTGTGGGACACAGGGAAACATTTGGCATGTACAAAACATATTTGTCTTATGATTTAAAATGCATCTAACAGATGAATTTCTCACAGTGCCGGACAGTGAAGATAGCAATCCTGGGAGATGAGGGAGTTCCTGTGCAAGTTGATGGGGAGGCCTGGATCCAACCGCCAGGATATATCTGGATTGTGCATAAAAACAGAGCACAGACATTAACCCGTGATAGGGTAAGAGCAGCTTTCTTACATTATGAACCTAGCCAGCAAAAGATAACCCCAATAGTGTGGTACAATATAATGATAGTCTTTGCAGAAATAGATCCAGATGGTTAGCCGTGTTGGTCTGAAGCAGTAGAACTAATTTAGAGTCCAGTGGAACCTTTAAGACCAACAAAGGTTTATTCAAGGTATGAGCTTTTGTGAGCATGCACACTTTATCAAATACATTAGAATGGCAGGCAAGGTTCAAAACTTATAACCAGAGAATGAACAGCAAATTAACATGCAGCATGATGATGATCAAGATATGCAAAGTGACACTAAATAACAAGTTTAAGGTTATAAGGTCAATAGTTATAAAGCAATAAATATGTCAAGCTAGCAGATAAATGTCTAAAGGTGTATTTTCTAATTGTGGGAAGTGACTGGGAATCTTCATTCTCTCCTCTCAGGTGTAGAGGGCACTTAACACTACATCCCCCTCAAAAAATGCTGTTATGTTGCAGAAATAGACAGGCATGACTGTGTGCATGCAGTGTACAGCTTCTCTTAAATGGTCACAGAAGGCATTGAACAATTTGGTTTGCTCTTTCAGGCATTTGAGAACACCCTGAAGTCCTGGGAGGACAAACAAAAATGTGAGCTTCCCAGACCGCCATCTTTCTCGCTGCACCCAGAGACGATATCTGAAGAAGAGTCCACTCAGATCAATCAGTTTTGCCGAGCAGCAGGAGCTCTGATTCACAGGTGGAGGGTCGTCTTCTTTGTTTTCTGGATTCAAGCGGAGCAAGGGGCATCTCAGTAAGATAACAATCAAGGAAACTCATACATTTCCCCCCTTCTCTACAGCATTCGAGAAATAGCTCAGTCGTACCAGGACATGGAACAAGAACTTGCTCACGCAGTCAATGCCAGCTCCAAATCTATGGACCAAGTGTATGCCAAATCCAAATCTGCAGAGGTATTTCCTGGCTTCTCTTAGTTTGCTCATCTTGTTCCCATTGGGTGGCCTCTCTGACTGGCATATTTTGTTAAAGGTTGGCTTGTAACATCCAATCCTCATGCATCTGTTCTTTCCACAGGGCCTAAACTGCAACCTTGTTGTGGAAATGATGAGTAATGTTAAAGCCTTGCATAATGAGACGGAACTGCTCCTGGCTGGCAAAATGGCCCTGGTAAGCGAAAGTTTTCTGTAAAAGTGTCTTGTTTCTGCTTCCCCCCTTCATCCTCATTCGTTATTGAGAAGATAATTTTCCCATTAAGACTACAACTCCAGTTTGACCATGCTTTTGCTTCCCTCATCCTGCCTGTAAATATTGTGGTACCATTTCTAAACTGTACCCTGCTTAATTCAGATAAGAATAATAACATGCCTCCAAATTAATAGTGGGTTGGAGCTGATTTACCTAGTGGCTGGACTGTGATGTCACCTTGATGGAATTTGTAGGGATTGTTGCTGGTGCCATTGAAAATTGTATGACATGGTTTCAGGAGCAATGTTTAGCAGCAGCATCCTTAATGGTTCCAAAATATATGGAGGCATCTAATTGCATTCCTATCAAGTTTTATCATTGCTGTCTGTTTTCCAAAACAAGGATGCCCTTTAGCCCTTCTGCATGCTTCTGGTGTTCATTTTTTCTGAAACAAAAATGATTTGGTGCTAGGCATGTCCGTTTTCTACCCAGATGACAGATGGGCAGAACAGTCCTGTGTTGTGCCTGTGCTGCAGCACTGCTAGTTGCCTCCCTAAGGGGATAGTTACACGGTAGCTGAATGGGAAAAGTGTGTGGCCATCATGCAGAATCAACTAGCACATAGGTTGGTGGTGCTTGGCAGCTGTTGATGGGTTTTGGCCAGGGTGTGTGTGTTGCCACCTGGCTAGGCGAGCAGCCTAGTCCATAGCCATCACATTGGCCCCCCTCCCCTAGCAGCTACCTTGGACAGGCCCCGACACACCTAACCGCCTGGTATGTGGCATCCATGTGCATCTGGGGATCCACTGCTCACCCCCACAGCTGCTGGGTTCTGGAGGGGGAGACACCATGTCCATCGCAGCTTGGTGTTACCATGGTAGGCCCATAGGAGTTATGGGGGTAGGGGACTGGGAGCCTTGCTTACCTGTTCACATGTGGCTGCCCCTTGGGATCCTGGTGGAGGGCCTGGTGTACCTTTGCAGGCCAAAATCTGGGAGTGATCAGCTACAAAGTGTGGTCTTTGCTCTCCCCAGGGGAATGCCCGTCCAGTGGTGCTAGGTGCCCTGTCTGTGTTGTGCCCACCACTGGGGTGCATGTGCACTCACTGTAAGTCCACAGAATTCTAGAGTGAGTTTCTGAAACCATTTATAGGACAGGGGCTGTCACTGGGTCCTGAGGAGGGGTGCGGCTGGAGTGAGGGAGTGTGCTGATTGGGTGCTCACTTAGTCAGTATCCTGAGCTGCTTGGGGTCCTGTGTGCATGGATGCAGCTGTGTGCAGAGGAGTGAATTTGAAGCTACCATGACTGTCAGTGGGCTACGATGCCATTTTAGTCAGCTCACCTTTGCACCTGCTCGGGGGGGCGTTCCCATGCTGAAAACACTTTGGATGCTGCCTGTCTACCGCCATGCCCCCTGGAATGACCACATCTACACTGGTGGCTGGGTTTGTGCCATTTGGTGCACAGCTTTAGTGCCACAGCATCATTAATGCTTTGCACCAGCATAAACTGCCCTTATGGCAGCGTAACTCCAAGTTATGCACGCATAGGGGTTAGTCGGGTCCCTATTCTGATTCCCCCCCCCCCCAGAATTGCTCTGTTAGTTGTTGCTGTTTAACATTTTTCTTGTGATACATTGGGTGAGTCCAGAAAGGAAGCAACTGACAGTGCCTCAGGTCAATGTTTCTGGCACTAGCCCATGGCTGTGCAAGTGATCTGCTGATACTTTGGGCACAGCTTTAGCATCCAATTGCCTGATAAAAGGCACCAGCACAATATACCTTTGTGTTATGGTAGTTCGCATTGTAAACAGGTCCTACCTCTTTCTTGGGAGATCTCTTTTTGCCTTCTTGACAAACGTTGCTGATCTTTTGACACTTCACAATCTTTTGACATCTGAGCTCCAGTTATTTCTAAATCTGGTAACCATATAGCTTTGCTTCTTTTATTTACACTTGATCTTAGCTAAAAGGCCGAGAAGAATAACCATATAGGGATGTGAAATGAAATCAGAACATGAGAACTGTGACTGTTCAAATGAATAGATTTAATTGCGATGAACTGAGATAAAAACTGATTTACAAAAGTCATCTCAATGGCAAATCTCTTGGTTTGGTCAAATCGCAAGTGATACGATTATTTTGTGGAAAATGTTGTTCCTGTTTAAAAATGTTCCAGTCTTGGTCTCTCTACAGGTGCCAGTTGTCAAAACATTATTTCTAATTCCATTTGGTTAAATAATAGACCAAGTGTTGCTTTGTTTACATTATAGAGACAAATGCGGGGGGGGGGGGATTTCTTGTCCAAAGCTTACAAAATATCAAGCAACAAAACTGAAAATATTCTCAGAATGCCTGCATACTGACAATATAGCACCATGGTACTATTGGGAGCAGGACGATCTTAAGGCGCATGGTGTATCTACCTTGATTTTTTTTAATTAAAGCACTAGGATTGTCTAGTATATTCTAACCCCCTAATGGAAGATGTAATGGAATTGTGGCTCTAGGCCACGAGAAGTTCATATGCTGGAATAAAAATTCTTAGCCTGTAAAGTGCCACAAGATTATGGCTTATTTTTACTTTAGCATATGTATTCGATTTGTGAATCATTTGTGCTCAGGTATTCGTTCAGAAGGGATCTGAGTAGAGCTTAGGCAATTCTGTTTTCAGCTGTGCAGCTCTTAACTGAGCCTGTGTGTTTCCATCTCTGATGCAGCAGCTGGATCCTCCACAGAAAGAGCAGCTTCTGGCAGCCCTGACAGAAATGGACTTTCATATGAGGAAGTTAGTCGATATTCCTTGGCTGTGGCAGCTCATGGAGCCCAGTGATGAAGAGGTAACTTACAAAGAGAAGAGCCAGTCCCCTAGATAGAGGGCCTTGCATCACATTCTGTCAGTGGGATTGCTCAGTGAGGTAGAAGGGATTGGTTTTGATACTCTGACCAAGCCAATCTGAATGAAAATAACTATATTGTGCTGTCATGAATTGTTCAGTAATATGGCAGTTTCTCATCGCTCCACTAGGGTCCTTACCTGTAATTATTTCTTGTTATGAAAATATTGTGCTGGCTGGAGATATGCAAATTACCTGAATTGTGACTCCTGAATTTTTTTTCTGCAGAACCAGATGTTGGACTATTCAAAACGCAGCCGGAGTGGCAAATTTCGTCTAGTTACAAAGTTTAAAAAGGAAAAGAACAACAAGAACAAGGAAACCCGTAGCAGTCTGGGATTGCCGGGTACCACCTGCCTGTGTATTTTCCCTTTGCCCTCCTTTCCCATGTATACACACATGTGCACATGTGTGCTACCTTTTCACACAAAATGCCTCTCCTCTTCTCTTCTGTGACTGCCATCTGCTTCTTTCCTCACTCTCTTCTAAGTTTGCCCTTTTTATTTACGTTTACAGGTATCTGACATTCCGCAGCAGAATAACATTTTCTGGGATGGGTCCTGAATCGGTACAGTAGTAATGTACTGAGTGACTACTCCCAAATATAAAAACTGATTGCACCCTCCAAGGTAGCCTTCAGTGATTTTCCGGAACATGTCATGCAGGGTCTGAGAGATGCTTAGAAGTCAAAGGAACTGTAGGGCCCATCCGCATAACTCCAGCTCTCCTACTGCTAATGCTCCCTAATTTGGTTAATGATTTTCTCTCATTGATTCATTCCCAGGCTCTTAATCAGTTCTCATGCCTAATTATCTGTGGATCCTGCATCATCCCTGGTGCATCCTTATCTTTAATTCTGCTAGTTAATATGATGTTTAAAATAAGATCTTGAAATCAACAATTCAGATTGTATCAAGACACTTTCATTGCAACTGGGTTGATTTGTTGGCTTATATTTCAGTTTACGAAGAATTTCTGTCTCTGATTTCTGCAAGAGCTGTTTGTCCTTCGGCGCGAATGGCACCATCCTCTGTACCCCTGATTTTTTACCGCACATCTTTCTTTTCCCTCTGCACTCTAAAGATGTTATCCCTCATTTTGCTTAGAGACCAGCGGAGGTGCTGCATGGCTGTGTGTGTTGATGGCCAGTTCTCCTTCCCTAAGCGGAAGGAGGACATTGTGTGCCTAGAAAATATTTATTTCTTGAATGAATGAATGCAAATGAATTTTGCTGACACAGAACATTTACATTCAGACATTGTCCACAAAATACAAGGAAGTGGAAAAAAAGTATGAACTCTTCAAGTTCCTCCATTTAGGGGGAGGGCCATAGAAACACGGAGTTACCTCAAGATGACAGGGGTAGAGACAGGGTGTTGGGTTTTTTTCCCCTTTGAGCTTTTCTACACAGTGAAATTGGAAAGGTTTTTGTACTTTCCCCCAGGCCCTCTTCATTGCATGTAACAGATTATATCTCGGCTACCACATTTACTGGAACATGGAGTTTTCCTGACCTTGGAATTCTGTGGTATTTCCAGGTATTATTTTTCTCTGTGTGTTAAGGGGGAAGGCTAAGAGAGAAGTCACACAAGCCAGAGGCCCGCTCCTAGTTTCACTCTGTAGAAATTCCAAGAAGTATGTGCATCTATAATCTTAACTGGACCACATTTTTTTAAAAAGCACACATTTTTAAAAAGATAAAGGAATTTGCACTGTGCCAGTGAGAGTTGTCTTGTGATAGAGTAGTATGAAGAATAATAGCCATCCACATTGGCTGGATTCTCTGATAATTTTGTGCGTGTCTATTTTGTTCTTGCATACATTAAGTCACAGTAAAATTACTTCTTGGATAAGCATCCAGTGGTCCAAGCTAACTCAGCAGTGTTGTATTTGGTCATGAGTTTAAAAAAACCCAGCTTCCAGTACACCTGGCCTCTATTTAAGAGCATATATCTTCCACCTTTGCTTCCATTCTCTTGCTTTGGAGATTTTTTGCACTGTATGTCATTTTTTTCTGCTATGAGGTTAAGGTACTGTTTTCAGTTCTCATCACATGCTGCTTTGGCTTTTGCTGGTGATCACCTTTTCTCACTGTGTTTCCCCTCTGGGCTTTGGGTACTCAACACACTCCTGCTTTTCCATCTCTGACAGTTCACCTCTGGGGAACGGAGGAGGTTGCGGCCTGGCTTGAGCATCTCAGTCTTTGTGAGTATAAGGATATCTTCATCCGGCATGACGTCCGGGGCTCTGAGCTCCTGCATCTCGAACGGAGAGACCTCAAGGTACTTTCATGAGCCGCTCATCAAGAGTAGCCATCTCTGCATTGTCATGGCCATTTGTGCTGACTGTGCTTGGATCTGGTCTGCGTACTCTCCGTTCTAGGTGACTTTAGACAGAGTAATAGAGGTATGGGTTAGCTGAGTCAGATTAGAAACATAGTTCTTGGCCAGCATCCAAGTCTTTTAAAATCTACCACTCAAGTTGTAGATCAAGTTTGCAATTCACCACTGTGTTCTAGAATGTTTTAAACTTCTGAATGCTGTTTTTTGACTGCAGTCACTTTTTATAATGTAGAAACTTCTATTAAATGGAGTTGAGTAAGTAGCTGTATCTTAGGTAAGGCAAATAATTGAGGAAATATGGGGCACTGTTGCCAGCAGGTATTCAGACTTTGACTTTTCCTGTACAAATTATAAGGCAATTTATTGCTGACTGTATGCAGTTGCTCAATCAACCAACCAATATCAGTTGCAAGATTGAGGCAACAGTTCTGTAAAACTTCCAGTGTGATCATTGTTCCAGGTTTTGTGTGACTTTAGGAACAGTGTGGGTAGTAGGTCCTGACTTGATCAAGAATTGGCAGCAGAGGAATTGCAGCTTTGAGGAACACAAAACTGGTTCCAGTAAAATATGATAAAGGTCCCATGCTTAATCTCAAGTCTCTCCAGTTAAAAATACCTTGGCCAGGGGGGTGGGGCTGCGTAGGACCCTGGAGAACTACTGCCAGTCAGAATACTGAGCTAGGTGGATGAATAGTTTGACTCATATGTTCCAGTGCCTTTATCTGGCACTGCCGTTGCTGTAGTGCAGCCTGTGTTACGGAAGCATAATGCGATTTTGCACTGGCATGAAATGAGAACTACATGTGTAAACAAAATGAACTTTTCTGATTTTGCAGATGTCTTCAAAGTGCATGTTTCCTTGAGTTTATTTAGTACATGAGAAACTGAACAGTTTTTTGTGGCTCTTGATTTATCATTTTCTGTTTTGTAGTAGTACCTTGGTTCCTCAGCACTCTACAAATCCTCCTGACTGATAGCTGGGGTTGAATTTCTGCTAGCTTGCATTGACAACTTACTCGTTGATTTGAACCTAATGATTTATTGCTTTTTCAAGTGCTTTGACCTTAGTGCTTGGCTTTAGAAATGTTCAATTTGTCACATTTTCATTTTTCTCAACTTCAGGGTTTTTTTTGTGTTCTTACAAGTGAACTGAGTAGTCTGCAGTTGATAGGCTGGCCTCAGATTATTTTTCATGTTATTTTTCAGGACCTCGGGGTGACCAAAGTGGGCCATATGAAGAGGATATTACATGGGATCAAGGAACTGAGCAGGAATATTCCTGTCAGCGAGGCCTGACTTCTGTTTTCAGAGCCTGTATATACCATTCCCACTGATGTCTGCAAAACTGACTCCTCAAGAAGCGGATTTTCTCAGAATTGTTTGAATGGACCTGCCAAACATTTGCCAGTGTTCAGAGCTCATATCTAACATCATGGTGCTACCTTTCTGTCATGAGGTACAGCACTATCCAATCAAGTGGCACTTTGCATTCCAAAGCCAGTGTTATTTGCTATCACCAGCCACCCCTTCCCTATCTTTACACTGGAATGGGGACACTCCATTCATGCTAGCATCCTTCCAGCCAATCTCAATAAAACAGCCTGTGGATTAGCAAATTTTGTGCACAGCTGAATACCCCAGCTAGGCACAGAAGCCAATATTTTAAACTATCCTATATTCTGAGTATTGTGCCAAATATTAAGAGACACATGCACACAAAACTGTAGAAATGGTTTATTGGGGTGGGAAAGGGTGTGTGTAAGAGAAATACATGGGGTGGTTTAAAGAATAAATTCACCAAAATTCACACAGTCTTTGTACAAAGCACCAACTTGATTGACATTAGGAACCGATTCTTCTCAGTTAGTGCCCTTTCCATGGGCCAGAGAGATATACAAGTCCAGAGTCTTTTTCTGCCCTCTACAAGTCTAAAACCGTGTCATCTTCTTGCTCTGTAATGCTTGTAAATGCCAAAAGAATGGGACTACATCTTCTTGTTCGGGCTTGCACCAAATGCTTACAACATCAAGTGCCTACAAATACTGAAATATCCCAGAAGCACATCCAGGGTGGGAGAATTTTCGGATTCCTGTTGACATTGGGTTTTTCAGTGCAATGCCTCTGATTCTAACAAGTTAAAGAAAGTGAATAGCATTGGCGTTTCTGGAAACACTTCTGGAAGATAACCTACTGTTGAAGCTTGGGTCCTTCTGTGCATAGGTTTAGGCAGGGTATAATATTTATTTACTTTCAGTGGCCGTTTCCCAAATTTTATGAAGCGAGAGCATCATTGTTTGAGATGTATACCCTTTTTTCTCTGTTTTAAGAGAACCTTGGCCAAATTCCTTATTAGTGTAACTTTTCTGAATTCCTCAAAATTTGTCCTGGTTGAAAATTACTCCTTGGCTTTAAGTCTAGTATTGTTTCCTTCTGATACTTCTTTTACAACAGAGGATGATGTGGTCTTATTTATAAAAAACAACAGTTAAATCTGTAATATAAATTTTTATGTATAGATGGGGGGGGGCGCTCCTTAAACTTGGGCCCAACATCCCTGGCTCTGTTCCATTATCATTGTGTGCAGGGATGTTTAGCCTTAAAGGTACAGATTACTTACGTTATTATGGATTCCCTGCACATAGTGGAGGATTGTGAATTTCAAGACACATGCTGTTAAACAAGGTTGCTCACCCTCTCCGTGTTCATTTATTGGGATACTAATAAAGTTCTGTGCAAGACTTGACAATAGACCACCATTAAATAGAAGATAGTAAAGATTATTTCTGCACTTTATTACTGGTGATAACCATAAGGTAGCCTCTCCCATTTCCTGGTGAACACCTCAGGGAAAAGAATCACTGTGTAATAACTTTGGGGAAAGATATTTTGGAGGAGGCATTTCTATTCCTTTAATTGTAGAAGTACTAGCAAGGCTTGCTCTTGTGCATCTCCCGAAAAATCTCATGTGGAATTATTTTTTCGTGATTGGTCTTGCCCTAAGAGGGAGTAGACTCCTTCAGCTCAAATGCATAGGAGGAATTTTGCATGTATTGTAGTGAGGGGGCATCATCATCATCTGGTAATATCTGCTCTCTGCAGTGAGTTCTGAATTCTGTAATGGCCGGTTCTCTCTCTGTGAACACTCTACACATGTGATCCTACTTGCAGCACATTTCAGCATATTGCTTTGGAAAGATCACTTGGCATCTTGGACCTGACCATTAGAAAATGTTCCTTTTTTCTGTTGGCCTAGAAAATGAGACTTGTGTTTTTGAGTTGAATGCCTTTGGATTCATAACAAAAGCTGATTTAGGCCTAAAGCACATCCTAAACATTTTATGTGCCACAGTCTCTTTTGTGCACCACGTACATTGTGAAAAGATGTCAGCACAACATTGTAGCAAAGCAGTGAATGTATAGCTACCATGGAGTTGTGTCTAGTAGTGTTAATGGAAAATGTCTGCTGCTAAGCAAAAGTCATTAAAAATGATGGTTGAGAAAGGCACACTTAACTGTGCCATGGCAAGCTAGACGTTGCACCTTGGGGACTTTAGAATTTCAAGCATATCTTTTATGATTTTTATAAAAGATGGACTTAATGCATAAAGTAAACTTATTTCCTGGACACCAATTATTTTACACCTTTGAAATATATTTTGAATTGGAAGGAGAATGGTATTCTCCTTGGGGGAAAATAACATAATTTTGGATGTCTTGTGCCCTTTTTTGCGTGGCACTACACTGGAATATTACCTGCTTGTATCTTCTGTTGGGTCCATTGCATTCACTGGGGATGTATTCAATGTAAGTAAAAGAAGAAATATATCCAAGACAGTGTAATCCTAAACACCTTTGGAAAAAGTAACATGGTCTAGTGTTTGTGTGTTTTTAAATCTGAAGTTGCTGTTTAGTGCCCAAAGTATCCACCTTCAGTTCAATGCAGCTAGAAGACACATACATGAATGTGCAGCACAGTCATATGCATGTTTAGTTGGAAGTATTTTCCATTGAATTCATTGGTGCTTACTCCCAAATAAGAATGCCTAGGGTTGCAGCCAAAGTTACTTATTATGTTCCATTCTAGTGGATATATTCATCTTGTTAGTCTGTGGATGATCAAGAAGTAAAAATGCCACTAGCTCTTGCATCTCTAATAGGAAACGTAAAGAAGTATTGTGCCAGTATCTTGAAAAGCTCTGACCATCTATATCACACTAAAATTGTTCAAGTATTGTTTAAAAATTAATATAGTATGAGTGATAATGGAAAGACTGTTTACACAAAGTTCCTTGTATCTTAATGGACGTGTGATGTAAAAAGAAAAGAAAAGCAAGAAAATTGTTTTTATATGTCATTTGATGTCTGTATTGTTGCCCACCAATGGCTGTTCCTCAGGGGTGTTGTAACCATTCTGGTGATCTGTTAAAAGCATAGGGAAGCATTTCAGTCCTGTACAGTCTTGGGAAGAAGGTTTTGTGCCTTAAGAATGGGACCTGTTATTTATTATTTTAATTTATACAGTAATTACTAGGGAAACACCTCTTGTATGTACATATTTTGCAACTGACTGGTGTAAATACATTGTTCTTGTATATAAAGAAAATCTGTTTCTGAGCTTCCCTGATAAAGAATTGATTTGTTGCTCCATTTATTGAGAAAGTCATAATATATGTAAGCTAGTCAAAAGGAGACTGGTGCTGATCTTCCTAAAAAGTTAAGAGATATTGACTTGGGTCTTCCCTAGAATTTGTGTTGGATGCAAGGAGGGGAGATTTTTGCCAACTCCCCCTCACCTTGAGAGACCTCTGATCCCCCTCCCCATTCCTCCCAGGAGCAGCTTATGGGTGGGTATTCTAGGTTGCTACATGAGGCAGAATTGAGAATTGAGCCCATGAAAATTCTAGACAAGACAGTACTGGCTCTTCTAGCTGATTCTATTTACTGGCTGGGTAATAATACATATTTAAATCCTGATTGTGGTCCTGTGTGGAGAGAGAAGCTTTAAAATATTTCTAATCATGACATTTAAGTATGGTGTCATTGAGAAAGCAGGTAGAAAACTTGAAATCATGAGCCTTAGTGTGTTAAGAAGAATTCAGTTCAGCTTCCATTTCAGGTACCCGCGGATCCTCATCAGTGATACCTGGTGACTGCATTTGTAGCTTTTCTCCCACACACTCCCAAACAGCAGTCTTTATCATCTCCTGGAATGGTAGGGTGGAAGGTATCCTTTTACTGTCTGTTTTTCCAGATGCCACTGCTTCAGTGGTGGATGGGATAGAAGAGGGTGGGAAAGTCCTGCAGGAAGCTGAGTGCATTTGCCATCTTTAGAATCCAGGGATAAATAAACATTTTCTGTTTCCTAAGCATCATGTTTTCTCACTGGTCTCACACTGGTAATAGGGATGCTAAGACACACAAAAATCTCCAGGCAGTACCAATTAGTCATTTTCAAGATTAGTCCTTTCAGAGAAAGAGGCCATTATTAGTAGGTGGTATTTTCCTGGCAATCCTGTAATTACAGTGAGGTACACACACACAGTCAAATTGATATGGTAAATGACGATTAACCTCTCATTTGTTTGAGATGGAGGCCATTGGGATAAATATGTGAACCCCAAAAAATGTAATGGTAAGACATGGGTCACAGGAGGAGGAGCTGGGAAATTGCAAGGTGGTTCCTTCTAAAACATTTCATCAATCGGTCTCAGTTCATATGGGACCAATTTTCCTTTAGTTCAGTGATGTAGTTGTCCATGCAGAGCCCTATTTCTCCTCTGTTGAGGGGAAGACCAAGAGGGAATAGAACTGGTTCAGTTTCCTAAGAGCCACATACCTAAATCTTGGTGCAGCAGAGTCATTAGGCATGTCTGACTTCACCTCTCTAGTGATAGCATAACTGCCTTCTTCATATCCTGGACACCTTTAGTTTTAACACTGACTGGAGGAAATAAAGATCTAAGGGTAGATCTCAGTGCTTAGGTGATCAGTGGAGCTGCTTTGCTGATTCCTGTTTATGTTCCTGAACAGGGGGGGGGGCTCATTTGAGTAACCCTAAGGCATATGGCTTCTGATGAATAAACATGATGAGTGCTGTCCTAGGGCCTATCCTCCAACCATTTTTGCAAGTAGTATTCTTTCATGCTGCTTCAGTATTCCTTCATGCTGTTTATTGTTGAGTCACAAGGGTTACAAAATTGAGCAATGCAATACGAACAGTATAAGACATAGTAATATGTCTGGATTACAAAATTAGAAAGGCAAACAAGTGGTAATCCACAAGGACTTGCGGGAAGTATCTTATTTCCCCTTCCCCCACTGTTTCCTCACCCTTTCCTGAAAGTCTCTCCTGCTTTCCTGCTTCCTTCTGTCCTTCTAGAGTTGTCAACCTGAAGATCTCTTGGAATCACAACGGATCTCCCGACTACTGAGATTAGTTCCCCTTTAGGTTACCAGTTCCAAGGTGGAAAATTTCTGGAGATTTAAGGGTGGAGGTTTGGGGAGAGAAGCAACCTCAGCAGGGTATAATGCCATAGAATCCACCCTCCAAAGCAGCCATTTTCTCCAGGGGAACTGATATCTGTGATCTGGAGAGCAGCTGTAATTCCAGGTGATCTCCAGCCCTCATCTGGAGGTTGACAACTATAGTTCCCCTGGAGAAAATGGCTGTGTTGGAGGATGGAGTCTATTGCATACCATTCTGAGGTCCCTCCCTTCTTCACATCCCACTCCCCAAATCTCTTAAGATTTTCCTTACCTGGATTTGGCAACCCTATCTCCTTCCCACCCAACCGCCAACCTACCTTTATTGCCCCTCTGTCTTAAGCTGTCCCCCTCCCCCCAGCATCCTCTACCTAGGAAAGCTATGGCCCAGTTGTGTGGTGCCAGCCATCGGGCCAAGCCCACGTGACTGGTAGGGAAGCCCAAGGACTTCTTGCTGGGGTCACTTTCCCCCTGTATCCCCCTCCCCACACTATTTCCCCTTTCCCTCCCCCTAGCATATCCTCTCCCCTTTACCTGCCTCATTCTGTCCTCAGCCATTCACCAACCTACCTTTTATTTGCCTCTTATCTTCAGCTATATGTATTATTTATCTACATTTCTACTCCACCTTTTTCTACAGCAGGGACCAAAGCAGCTTATGGTATACTCTTCTCCTTTTTATCCAAACAACCACCTAGTGGGGTAGGTTAGTATGTGACTGGTCCAAAATCACGGACACTGTCAGGTAGTAGAACAGCCATATGGTGTGAATGGCTTGAGTTTTAGTCTGAAGTGACCCCTGCCCTGCCCACACCCGTGTTTATAGTTCCTGTTGAGAGGTACTCATCCTGAGAGGGACGTGTTCCATTTCACCTCAAGGCTGACTGATTACTCTGAAGCTCTAACCTCTACACCACACTGGTTTTCATAGGGTGGCTGCTGTTGAACACCAGCAAGCAGCCAGGTCTGGTTGAGTCATACAAGTAGAATGGTATTAAGCCACCCAGAGGTTGCTGCCGGGCCTGAGGTTGCCAACCTCCAGGTGGGACCTGGAGATCTCCCAAAATTATAATTGAATTCCAGATGACAGAGATCTGTCCTTCTGGAGAAAATGTCTAGTTTGGAAGTTGGACTCTGGCATTATATCCAGTGGAAGCCTCTACTGTTCCCAAACCCTGCCGTCCTCAGATTCCACTCCAAAATCTCCAGGAATTTCCCAACCTGGAGCTGGCAACACTAGTCAGGCCTGGCCCAAAAGAGTGCTCTCAAATAGGTCTGGAATAGGTCTTCTCCCCCTGCCTTTTACTCAGAGTAACTCAGCTTGGAATATGTGGTTGCCTAGCAGCAGCTTGTTTAAACCTACAGGTGATCCTTTTATCATTTTTGGCTTTTTAAAACTCCCGGCTGTATTTGTTTTAGTTTTACATTTTTCTGCAAACCTGGGGCCCTTTTCAGGTTTGTAAAAAGATCTGTCTTGCCTGTTCACAGCTCTGGTCACTGGATTTAAGTATCCAAAGATTGGCTGACTTTGCTATTAGAATATAAGATGCAATAAAACAGTACAAGGCATGAGATAAGAAATCCAACTGTAAAAACAAGAATAGCAGACATTAAGCAGTACCATAAGCTATAGCTCTTGTCCCTTTATAAAAAAAGCCCTCCTGAACAATTCCATTTTATACATTCTGCGGAATGATAAAAGTGTGGGAATTTTCCTGATCTCCTCAGGTAGGCCATTCTACAAAGTGGGAACCACAAGAGAGGATGCTTGGGTACTAGTAGCTCTGAATTTAGCCATCTGTAGGGTGGCACTTTCAACAGGCTTTGCTCAGATGATTGAGCAAAGCCTGTTGAAAGTGCCACCCTACAAATGATATTGCAGTGGGGCATAGCGGGAGAGGTGAAATGTGTAGGGGGGTCCAATCAAATATTGCCAGCCTGATATTTCCTGGATTGGATCAACAATATTCCCAATCCCAATATTTTACTCTGGACAAATACTAGAATTGGGAATAATGGTGGGGAGGCAGCAAGAGTGGCTAGGTAGGGGTCAGTGTGCCCTGGGGGACCTAGGGTATCACATGAACACATGAAGCTGAGACAGCTGAGGAGTCACAAGGCTCAGCAGCAAGGAGTGCATGAAAATATGAAGCTGTCTATACTGAATCAGAGCATAGGTCCAACAAGGTCAGTACTGTCTACTCTGCCAGCAGCATCTCTCCAGGGTCTTTGGTAGAGATTTTTTGCATCACCTACAACCTAAAGCGTTTAACTGGAGGTACAATGGATTGAACCTAGGACCTTCTGCTTGTCAAGCAGACACCTCTCATCTCAAAAGCCTTTATTTTCTTTCAATGGGAAGGAGACCTGGAGGCTAGGTCTACTGCTCATTGAAACAATGGCCCTTGAAACTTTAAAGGGCTGCTGTTTCAATGGGCAGTAGCGTGCTGGGGGTCAGGGGACACTTCTCCCTTCTTCTTCTCTCCTGCTGCCTTTGGAAGGGATGCTCTTCAAAAATATTGTTTTGATTTCCCTCTGTAATTTCAGAAAGGCCATGCTTGTTTTTCACTCAATTGGGACTTTTGTTCCAGTATTAATAACACTTGAGATTTTTCCTGACGCAACTTCCTGAAATGATGTGTGGCTCTCAGGCCATGGAGGGTTTTGTAGTTAACAGTCAATATCTTGAACTGAACCTGGGAACTCATTGGTAACCAATGGAGTAACAGCAGAACAGGTGTGACATGCACACTTTGTCTAGTTCTCAATAATAAGTGAGCTGCAGTGTTCTATACCAGCTAGAGTTTCTATGACAGACCCATGTGGAGTACATTATTATAGTCTAGCCTTGAGGTTATTGTGGCATGGATCCATGTAGCCAGATCAGCCTGGTCAAGGAAGGGAGCTATCTCCTGGGCTAAATGACAATGGTAAAAAACATATTTTGCTGCAAAATTAACTTTCTTCTCCGGCAATGACACTGGGTCCAATAAGACCCCTAGAAATCTTCACTGACTGATTGCAGCCTATCATGGAGCATACAGTGAATATAAGGACATCAGCAATGCTACTCAGATTGGTTGTTTTGCTGAGGGCAAGTGAGTCCCATTCAGCATGATGGCTACCTGGGATACATGGCCAATAGTAGCCAATCAGGAATCATGTGCTGAATGGGAGAACACAACATTTAAGTAGCCATTCAGATGTGGCTTCATGCTAGTTAAAGCTAGTGATAGAGAAAGCTATGATACGCTGTTAGATGGGAATAACAAGATGAAATCACGAGCGGTGTTATCAAATCTTTACAAGATCGAGCTGTCATGGTGGGAAGTATCACAACTACAGTCCAGGTATTTTAAGGATGAGAAAAGGGGGTTTGAAGATGGTAAATCCCAGCTGGATAAGATATGGGCATCGAGCAGTGATAAAATGATACAGAGAATATACAAACTCCTCTTAGAAGAACGGGTAAAGGAAGAAACAGTCAATAAGAAACAGCTTGCATGGGAAAACGATGTAGGACATAATATAAGTATAGAAAACGGGGGGGAAACGTGGAAATCAATAAAATGTATGAGAAGTGTAAATTATAAAGAAAATATATACAAAATATCCCATAGATGGTACTGGTCACCAGATAGGATAGCTAAATGTAACCCTACAATCAGTAAGAATTGCTGGAAATGCAAAAACAATGTGGACACATTTTTTCATATGTGGTGGCGTTGTGTAAAGATTCGTGGTTATTGGAAAATGGTGCAGAAGGTAATTTTAGAAATAACTGAGATTGAAATAGAGCTATCCCCAGAAATTGTGCTGCTGAACATGTTGCCAGAGAGTCTTAGGTGGAAAGATAAGTACCTGAGCATTTACATATTAACAACTGCAAGGCTCTTAATAGCCAAATTTTGGAAGCAAGAATATATACCAAATCTGGACGACCTAGTACATAGGTTATTAGAGATAGCAGAGATGGATAAACTAAGTCTAATTCTTCAAGGAAAGAAGGAAAAAGTATTTATGAAAAGGTGGAAGCGTCTATATAATTGGATCAATGTAGATGTATAGTAAACAACTCCATAAGCAAATTTGATGAATTATGTATCATGGAATAATGTTTTTATGAAAAGGAAAATAAAATCTTTTTTTAAAAAAAGTGTGGCTTCATGCTGATGTCACTCACTTGGACAATAAAACCAATTAAAATGAGGGCAATAAGTCCAGAAGACAAGGCATCTGTCCCCTTTTGAAGCAACTGAACAATTACTAAAAGGTAAGGTGCTTTTTTTTTTTTTTTTTACCACAGATGAAAATGTTTGCAAAAATCTCTCCAAACCCTTTGGCTCATCTCTAATGTTAATGTCTCAGTTGTATCCATTTTCCATTCATTGCATCACAAGTCTGACAACAGTATTGGCTTTATATATTCATCAGGATCATGGTGGACTGCTCACACATTATTTGAAATCCATTATGTTTCAAATATATGTGTTTCTTTTGCAGCTATGCAGTTGGTGGCATGTTGACTCATAAGAACTTGCTGTATTGAACTTCAGCTCCCAGGTGGCAGTGCCAGAGTCCTTTGTGATCTAATTAAACTCACTTTACATGGAGATAGATCAAGATGGGTAGCTGTGTTAGTCTGTCTGTAGCAGCAGAAAAGAGTAAGAGTCCAGTAGCACCTTAAAGACTAACAAAATTTGTGGAAAGCTCATACCCTACCACAGACTTTGTTAGCCTTTAAGGTGCTACTGGACGCTTACTCTTTTCAGTTTTCATGAACACACTTTGCTTGGGGAACCAAACAGGCAAGGCAGGCATTTTTAGCATTATTATGTTCTTGCTTTTGCTATACCTGTGTATGTCCCTCTGTGTGTCATAACTGTAATGGCTTTTGGCCTTGTACAATAAATATTTTACAAATAGGCAGGGCTGGAATACTAGGAAAAACGAATAACTCCGCTCCCTGCCATCAGGGCTGTCGAGAGCCACCGTGCCCCCCCCATATGACCTTGATCCAAACTATGTGTCCAATTTTGTAATTTTATATTTGTACGTACATATCTATGTGTACCGACATAGGGCACACCTCTTACATCTCATTAAGAGGGCTGTAGTTAACAAAAAGTTCATATCACAATAAATCATTAGTAAATCAGTAAGAAATCTACTTAAATTTACCCTTGTACCTTTACCTAGCACAGAAGCAGGGGCAAATTCATTATGTAGTCGTGCTGGATGAGAAATACTGGGATCAATGAGATTGATCTTGCTGACATTTTCTATAAAGATCATGCCATTTATCATATAACTTGAAGCTTAATCTCTATAATAGTAAAGTCGTATTTACAAAGGGATATTAGATGTCCCACCAATACAATAACAAGAATCCACTGCCTGAACAGTGTTTAATATTAAATTAAATTAAATCTAATTGGGGGGAGTTCTAACTTCTGTTTCACATCTAGTCTGTTATAGCTAATGATGACAGGAGCTTTGACTGAGAGCCAGTTTGGTGTAACGGTTAAGTGTGCAGACTCTAATCTGGGAGAACCTGGTTTGATTCCCCACTCCTCCACTTGCAGCTGCTGGGTGACCTTGGGCAAGCCATAGTTCTGTCAGAGCTGTCCGTGAAAGGGCAATTCTTGAAAGAGCTCTCTCAGCCCCGCATACCTCACAGGATGTCTGTTGTGGGGAGGGGAAGGGAAAGGAGTTTGTAAACCGCTCTGAGTGAAGGGCAGGATATAAATCCAATCTCTTCTTCTTCTTCTTCTTCTTCTTCTTCTTCTTCTTCTTCTTCTTCTTCTTCTTCTTCTTCTTCTTCTTCTTCTTCTTCTTCTTCTTCTTCTTCTAAAGTTTACATTCCGAAAGTCTTGTTCGTCTCTAAGGTGTCACTGGACTCAAATCTAGGTGTTTCACATGTGTAACCACTAAATCAGGTTAACATTCTATTACCATGCATTTACCATGCAGGTAAAAAAAGCATCCATTTACTGCTTTGGTAGAACATGGAGAAATTGTAACTCCCCCTGCCACTTCATAATATTACCAAGGGTTTGCTGCTACACTACTATTAAATAATTCTAAGTTGCCAACCAGGATAGGGATGAGGAGTTTAGACTAAGACTGAGTTTAGACCAAGACTGAGAAATAAGAGGAGAGGATTAGAGAGGGGGGGCTAAAAGCATATCATAAAGGAAGAAAGCAAAATGGAAAGAGGAAGAGAAATTAAGAAAAGAGGAAAGATTGTTTTTTTCTACAGGAAAGATCTGGTTGAGCAGACAAAACTATGGATCTGAGTGGAAGAAAGGGAAGAGGGAAACAGACTGAGAAGGACAACAACCTTGTTAGGAGGCCGCAGCCTGACAATGACTGTAGCAACCATGAGCTGTGCTGGCTGATCTTGCCTTCCTCCAGTGCTGGCTTGATTGATGAGTTCTGCAAGACAGGCACCTGTTTGCCACCTTGTAGTAAGCTTTGCAGAAAGCCTCCCCATTTCTTGTGCTCTGCTGCCACTAGAGCCACATGGAAGGAAGTGCAGAACTGCATTTGAATCTGAATGGTGCATGAGGCTCACTTCAGGGGCCCTCCAGCTGACTTGGGCCCTGGGAATTTTGTCCCCCCCCCCCAGTCTAGGGTTGCCAATTCTGGATTCAAAAATACCTGGAGGCTGGAGATTTGAGGGTAGAGCCTGGGAGAGTGGGATTTAGGGAGATAAGGGATCTTGGTAGGGTATAATGCCATGCAGTCCACCTTCCAAAACCACCATTTTCTTCAGGAGAAGTGGAATAAATGTTTTAAATAAATAATAAAATATAATTTTTGTAGTCTGGAGATCAGTTGTAATTCTGGGAGATCTCCAGCCTCCACCTGGAGGTTGGCAACCCTCTGCCAGTCCCTTCCCCTCACCAGCCCTGCCTATCAAACACCAGGTTTGCGATAACCAAGGAAAGAATCTCTTTTGCAAGTTAACATTTTTTTCTGTTGGCTGGAGTAGTGGATGGAGAGAGTAGGACAGGAACAGTCTGTAGGAAAACAGTGCAAGGCTGTGAATGTGCACAAAAATTGCACGTTTGCCATGTAATTTAGAATGATTTTTAATTATTATTTATGGGACTTGGAACAAGGGCAAAACAGAAATGCAGTAAATTTTGTCTTTCTGTTATCCAGTTATCCTGTATTCAGCACAATAACAAAGAAGAAAATCAGAGAAGATGTCTGAAAGAGAGTGATTCCTGGTATCACTCTGGTTTTTGTTTGACTGACAGGAAATACCTGTGAGTGTCTCTCTGATGAGTAAATATTTGAGGTTATGTATTAACTAGTGTCCTCTGGATCTAATGGCAGAACTGTAGGCAACAGTGATTCAGCTGGTGAAATCAGTAAGTCTTTTGGAAGTTTTTCTGCCCTCTGATTTTCCTTATTAGATTGATTTTTTAAAGAAACTAGCTAAAATAATATTGAAGGTTGTATGTGCAGGAAATAACTGTGGGAAGCTTGTAAGGCAAAAAGGTAAATCAGATTCGTTTAGTATAATCTTTGGTTCTCTGATATCCTATCCAGCTTTGGAAACACAAACCCTCTTGAAAGTCAGTTGAATAATTTTTAGATAGGAACACCGAACATGACGAGTAATTTCCTGTCATGAACAGACATAACCATGCCAATTAATTAGTTATGAAGAGCCACAGCAGGATAAAATTGCTGCCAGTTTCTATAAGGTGGTGCCAGGCTAAATATAAAAACACAACTAACTACTGAACTATGAGCCAGCTCACACATAATGGAATGTGTTTCAATAAATGAAAATATAAATATTAAAAAAGATAAAAGAGCATATGTTTCCCTAAAATCTGTTGTCTACTTTTGTGTTTATTCTCTTAGGTCTTAAGTGTGGTATGATGTGGAAAATTGTTACCCTTTGGGTGTTTTCAGCTACCTTTGTATCGCGTAGTGGACATGAAGCCTCAGGTACATCTTTTTTTCTTGTAGGAGAAATTCTATGTCCTGCATTCTACCCCCATTGCATTTTTAAACTCATGATCTGAAGAGCCCAGAATCATGTCGTATATATAATTCTCTTCAAAATAAGTCCAGGTGACACAGTATGTGTGACTGTTGTCACCCTGATGTGCAAGTAAAGTGAGAACGGGAATATGCTCAAACATTTATACTTCATTGTTATGTATAACTTGGGAGGGTCCTGCATTCATCAATACCATTTTACAGTTGTGCATAACAGCAGCAATTGTTTTGAGTGCCCTAATGCAGTGAAGATCTGTCAGTAAAGAAAACAGAAGACCTAGGAGTTGTTATTCCATCCTCATAGGTTCTTTAGGACTGATTGTGTCTCAACGGGGAAAATGGGCATCAAAATGTAATCCTATCTTGTTAAAGCTTAGAAGGATAAATACAACTAACTTTGAAAAGTTTTCAGCTAATTTCAAAGCTTCCCTGAGCCTGGAGGGAGCCCACACTGTTGCCAAGCATAGGCGTTTCTGGCCCTTGAACTTTAATGATATTTAACTGGGCTACTTCAAATATAATGTGATGCCACTTACCTACAAAACTATTCCTGCTTATGGAAAACAATTGTACTCAAGGGCAGCATCAGTACAGGTGGGGCTGCTGCCACCTGTCTAGGAGGACCCAATGCTGCCAACCTCCCCTCCTACTCACTTGCTGGCACCACTTCTTGCCCCAGCTGCACATACTTCCTGGTGCCACCATGGAAAGGGGTGCAGGTGGTGCAGGTGGCTGTGAGCATGAGAGGCCTCACAAGCAGGCAGGGGAAGGAGAGACAGGCAGGTGGGAGACATGAGGATGGGTGGGAGGAAATGAAGGTGTGAACAGAGCCTGGTGGTGGTCAGAAGAGGGGAAGGAGGTCCTGGGAACTCTGCCCAGGGCCTCTCAACATCTGGAACCAGCTCTTATTGTGCTGATATTCTTCAGCCACTGAGCATGAATTTTTAAAACTCTGTACTGGGTAACACCAGCCTAATTTGTGGGTGCTGATGCATCACCAGCATTGCTCTGGCATGGCTAATCAGAACCCTGTGCTCTCTCAACAGAGAAAATATACTTGTACCGACCTAGCTCCAAACCACTGAGAGCACAGCAACTGCTTTGGAGTCCATATGCACCGAGTCATTATGCACTGAGCAGCAGGCTGATTACACAGCAGCAATCTATCTATCGATCGATCTATTGATCTATTTAATGAATTTGTTAGCTGTTTTTCTCCTTTACAGAACTCAAGACAGTCTACAATACATGGGAACAATTCCCTCTGAAGCACAGGTCTGTTGGCCTGGAAAACAGCTATGCCCACCTTAAAGCCAGGCCAGCCCAACTGGAAGTCATGCCCCCATGCCTCTTTGATGTCACCCTGCCTCCAACCACAGCCCACAACAAGGGAAGGAAGCAAGGGAGCACAGCACCCTTTGCTGTGGCATACCTAGTAGGAGCACTGTAACGACCACCTCCCTATGAGTTCCACAGAGGAATGATCAAAGACCTACCTGCAAACACCCTTTTCACAAGCCTACACACAGGGAAGGAGGAATGGACAGCTCAGCCATATTAGGCATGACTCACTTGGCAGAGCTCAACCATATCCACCATGACTCACTTGGCAGAGGAATCTGCAGTGCTAAAAGCACTACAGGAGTTCCTCAGTTGGTTCAGACTTGGGCCACAGCAATGATGCAAATGGGTGTCTAAATGAAGACACCTCAGCAGGACTGCCGGTTCCCATCCAGGTCCATCAGAGAGGAATGCAATGTGCCTGGGTGCACCAATAGCTACATCTCCAAGGCTTAGAGACGTGCTCCAGTTTTAGCAATTTTATGCTATAACAATGTCTGTTCTCTGCCTTGACTTTGTATATTGCTTCTTTTCAGTACAATCTGCCATTTCTCTAGAGTTCCTATGACCAAAGCCCCCTTGTATACATGCTTTCAAAGTGCGCGCTACATGAGAGCAGAGAAATGTAACCCCATGCCATCCCCTGAGCTATGTGTACGCTAGCTGGGATTTATATAGAATTTAGAAGGGGTATGATTGCACTGTCCATTTCAGGACCCTACCCTACAATATGACTTTATTGTCATCATGGTAACTATTCCGTCTAACGCTGAGCCGACAGCGTCTTCTGCAGCACAGTAACACTTGTATGTACCAGCAGGGACTATGCCAGCATATTTCCAATATAGCAACATATTTCCAAGTTACTCCAGTGTGGAGATTAGTTGCTGTTCTAAGTACTAAGTACATATGGGCTTTGGGATTGTGCCTTTTATCTGTGTTGGTTTTGTCCAGCTCAGCATTTAGTCACTTCAAAGCATTGTTTTCTGTTCAGAACCCTTGAAAATACTTTCCCCTGCATCAGTTACAATAAATTAGATAACACGTCTGACTTAATGCCTACTGCTAGCAAGGTGGCCTTAGTGGCTTGTGTGGTTTTTCAATTTTTGTCCAAAGTGTTTTACAGTAGCAGGGAAGCAAATCAAGTGCTGAAAATACAGAAGAGGGCAAATACTTTCTTGGAGGAGATCAAAGCAGGCTCGTTGGAGCGAGAATGTTATGAGGAACAATGTGACTTTGAGGAAGCCAGTGAGATCTTTAAGACCAAGGAAGCAACTGTAAGTTGTTGTGATACGATGTTGAGGATCAAATGACATTGCCAAGTTGATGTGCACTATGGTCTGAGTGAGGCCAACCCAAATCATTCTGTTGTCTCAAGAAGCTATTCATCCCAGCACCAGGCCTGTAGCTACTGCGGGGCCTGCAGAGTCTGGCCCTCTAGTGGTTTTTATGGGCCTCCCTCCCTGAGCCTTGGCTCCCCCCCCCCAATTGCCTGTTGGCCTGTTGGGCTGGGAGAATGAGGGTGGCACAAGCAGCAGCAGCAGCACAAGAAGCAGCAGAGGCAGCAAGGCTGGGCTGAGAGATGCTTGTTGCCTGGCCTGCCAGCAGCAGGTAAGCTCAGCCAGGCAAGGCAAGGAGGCGAGCTTCGTCTGGCCCGGCACACTTGGCTGTGCTCATGTGTACCAATGCGCCCACACACCACACCACCCTGCCAGCCCAGCCACTGCAGACCTCGCCTCTCCCGGCCCCGGGAAGGAGCCAAGGGTGGAGGTCAGGCTGCCCCTGGTGCAGCGACGCAGGAAGGGGCACTGGGGCTCCTCAGGGAGGGAGCCAGAAGCTCCACAGAGAAGAGCTGCCCTTGCTGGGGGGGAGGGAAGCTGCCCCCCATTTAATCAGCTGGCGGGGGCCCCCAAGACCCCCTCACAAAAAAAACCCCTAGCTACGGGGCTGCCCAGCACTGTCTGTGGTGTTGCAAGTGATTTTGTGAATGCTCTTGGACCGGATGCTGCCTCGTTGGCATCCTTAAAAGCATTGTCATCCCAGGCAGTCTCTTGGGTTGCTTGTTTTGTTGGGTGTCTATGGGCCTGTGTAGTTGTCAGTAGGATTGCATATGTGGTGCAGTGGTTGTATGATCACATTTACCATCTGTTCCATTTCCAACCCACTGTCAGTATCTTTGCACACATACTTGTTCAGTTGTAAGATGGGCATGTGGTAAAGCAAGAATGTGATTGTGATCTATTCAGCTCCCATTTTTAACACATCTGATTTGGATGTATAAACTGCACTGAATTATCATGCCCATTTCAGATGGGATAAATCTGTAGAATGTCACTGAAGTCAACATATACTAGTTGATGCCTGGTTGAACTGTGGTCCATTGTCTCAGTGGAACTCTGATAATTGATGCCACCTAGAGTTGCAGCTTGTTTCCAGGAGAAGAATTACCCTGAGAATATTATCCATTACTTAGTTCCAGTATTGCAATATGTGCATTGGGATGCAAGGCAATGTAGAAAAGGAAATTTATTCTGTATGCAAGAATCCTGAGTATGCATTCTTGTGGTATGGATTTGGGCAGGTCCCTCAGAACTAGTTCATTCTCATAATGACTCCATCAAGGATGATGATTCTCTTATCTGTACCCAGACATGATGTGATAATATATGGGTCTATTCATGGAAAACTAGTCCGTTTCCCACTTTAACCTAGATTTTATGTCTTTGCAGCTGAGTTTTTGGACAAAGTATATTGGTAAGTGAAGAAGTGTTGACTTTTTATATTTAGAGTGAGTACTTTTATTTCTTTCCTCCCCGATCACTTTTTTTTGTACTTCAAAGGATTGTTGTCACCAGTGCATTAAGTGAGCTATTGTTACTGCTCTGGTTTGTGTTAAAAATGGAAATAAGCGGGTACTTTCCATGGTCTTTACTACAGAAGCTACAAATGCTTCAGGACTCAGCTGTAGCAATGGACTTTGTGTGCATCTAGTGATTCAATAATTTTGAATTGAATAACAAATCAGAGAATGTATTCTGGAAAAGATGGAAAAATATATATGACTGGCTAAAGCATAAAAGAAAAATATAATTTGTACGCAAAGAGTTAGTGAAAATCATACATGTTGAAAATGAATGATTTTTGGAGATGTATAATTGACTGTTTAATTGTTATATTTTAAATATAATGATTTTGAAGTAATGTAAAGGTGAAAACTTGGAAAATAAATTTATTAAAATAATAATAATAATAATAATTTTGAACCAGGGTTGCATTCCAAAGTTCTCCATCGCTCCCCCTAAACTTACTGCTTTTGGGACTGTTGATACCTTTGGGAATCCCATACTCATAAGGGAGATGAAGTACAACAAAGGAAGTCAGCTATATATATTGGTTGGGAAAACCTATGGGAGATGTATTTGACCTTTAACTTGCAATGGAACTACATGGCGCATGGTCTGAGTTTCTCTGCAAATGTGTTTTTAGATGGAGATCAATGTGAAAATGTCACATGTATCAATGGAACCTGTGTGGACAGCTTTGAGCGATTTCACTGCATATGTAATGCAGGTTGGGAGGGACAGCTGTGTCAACATGGTAACTACATGCCTCAGTCCTCCGTTGTAGTATATAACACAAACATTGTTGCTGTGTAATGGGTGCCTGTGTACTGTTTAAAGTTCAGCTGAGTAAGCAATAGGGTTACCAGACATCTTTTTTTTTTTTTTGGTTTCTGTCCTCTGATGAAAATGCCTCTTTTGGGGTTGGAAAGTTAGGAATATTCCTAGTTAGTAGCAGTGTCCCCTCTGAGCTGAGTTAGTGTGAGCTAGCTCACAGTTTTTTGGTCTCCAACTCGCACATTTTTGTCTTAGCTCAGGAAGGAGGGCTCCAGAACGAACTGATTTATGCAGGAGCCAAATTGCTCACTCACTACTTGAATGCCAGTAGCTCACCAAGTAGAATTTTTGCTCACAAGACTCCACAGCTTAGAGGGAGCATTGGTTAGTAGCAATTATCACAGCTGAAATAGTAGGGGTATTTAAAACGAGATTTGTCATAGTGGTCACTTGTTTGAAGTAGTCAGTTGGGAAATATGCCCCCCTTTTTGCTTTTCAAAATATGGTACCCCTAGTAATTATACCATGGCAGAAAATACATGCTGATCCAAAGGCCTTTCCATATATGTATTTGCTACAGGCTGTACAACCAGGAAAGTTCTTAGCGGTGAAGGAATAACCTTGCAGGAAGGTTTTCCCTACTCTGCTGTTGGAAGAGGCTGGCAAACTGTAGTTTAGCACTCTTGTGTGTTCAGGGTAGCCATATCTTGCTGTAGCTAGAGGGAAAACTGCAGTTTCACAGCACAAAATAGGGCAGTTTGAATTCTGGGAAAGTTGCAATTTCCCCCTCACTAGTGTAGGACAGAAACTCCGTGAAAGGTGTGCTTCCCCAGCCCAATTTGAGAAAGCACTCGGCAGTCTTGTAGAGGAGAATCCAAACTTTAAAACTTTATTAATAAAGGAGGAAAAGTACAGGCACAACAAGGTTTTGAACCCTTGAGTACCCACAGCTCTCCTTAAGGTTACAATGGGAGACATAGGGTTTTATACCCCCTATGACAGTTAGAAATAAATCATAATTATTGGTTCCATCAAAGTTTTGTCACATATCCATCACACCATTCTGATTGGGTTCCAACCTGTGGGTTGGGTTTTCTCAGGCAAAGATATACCTCCCCCATTTGAACAATAGGCCTTCTTCTTCCCAGACTATGAAGTGATAAAAAGTATCTAATGTATCAAATATTAGTACATCATGCAGTGTTCTTCATCTAACGCAAGCAAACTGGCATCAGGAGCACGCCCAGTTACGATTGGCAAGAACAAGCAAGGTCACTGTAGTATGATTGCCTGTCAGCATTTAGTATTTTACCCAGAATGCCTTTAAGCAATAAACCAAAGTGAATATCTGAATATATGTTCATGATTGATTTCAGTTACTGTGATTAGAATAATCAAAGGCACTTAACATATGCACCATGGAAGTGTTAAGTGCACCTACTAAGTTAAACTGACTGTTAGCCAGTGGCAGAGTACAAAGTGTTTCATAAGCAGTGCCAGATTGTGGGCAGAGGAGGACAACGGGGGCCCTGGGAACTTTCTGCCTCCCTCCCCCAAACCTGAAACTGGTGCTGTTCCTCTGCATGATACCTTGGAGAGCTGCTATCGGTAAATAATACAGAACTGGTTGGCTGGACTCAAGACAGTCTGAGGCAGCCTCATTTGGGGCTTGGATCCAAGGACTTCTGCCCACTGAGTGCAATTTTTCCACTTCTCTTGCAGCAGCCCCAAATGCCTCCCATTCTATTCCTAGGGGTCCCCTCTCCTTGGGGTAAAAGATTTTGGGGACATTTCAGGTTTCCACAGGAAATGGGGGAGAGGTGGGAAAACTGCACTCAGTGGGCAGAAACATTAGTATGGATCCAACCCATGTTCCTGATGACTTTATACTCCAGACAGAGCAGATTGGAATAATCTGAATTGGCCCTCAAATAGTTTTATTTCTGTACAACTATAAAGGGGACATTAAAGTGATCCTAGTGAATCTTTTTGTAACAGATAACACTTTTTTCATCACATCTTTTAATGCTTTTGCTGCCCAGAGATCAACTACATCAACTGCTCCATTGACTATGGTGGCTGTGACCATTTCTGTCATGAGGATCAAGGGAAGGGCCAACGTTACTGCAGTTGTGCTTCAGGGTACCAGCTGAAGGATGATCATACTTCATGTCAACCTGTTGGTAAGGAAGGATACATGCAAACATGCTTGGATTCAATCCAAGGCATTTCAGATAAACATGCATTCTGATTACCAAAGGAGGGTTGTGAACCTCCAGGTGGAGCCTGGAGATCTCCTAGAATTACAAGTGATCTCCAGATGATAGAGATCAAATCAAATTTATTGTTATAGCCAATTGACCAGCAGTGCAGTAAAACAATACAATAATAAACAAGTACGATCACCAACACTCACAGACAATAATACCATCATAGTACCAGCCACAGACCCCATTAAAATCGTAATTCTATTCCCTAAATTCTAAGTCTTGTCTAAAATTCTCTTCAGTCTGTGCTTTTTGTTAAAATCTTTCACTTGTTTATTACTAAAAAGCAATATTTTGCTACTACCAGAGTTACCGACGTCTTGGTATCTTCCAATAAATATTTCAGCAGCACAGTATCTGCAAATTTCAAATAGTTTTCCAAGGGTTTAAATTGGGCAAGTAAAGGAAAAAAATAGCTGGTGTCTCTCTCTGAAATAGAGTTTGCAATGTAAAAGAATGTGTGTGATTGTTTAAAGTTCTTTATCTGCACATAGACAACATCTTTGATGTGTAGGCCAATGGAGATACCTTCCTTGCAGTAAATTAGAGGGGAAGGCATCAAAATATGCTCTAGAGAAAGCCCATCGATACTTTTCATATGTAATGTTAGAGAGAGATACGGTTCTGCTGCATATCCAGGCCAAGATTTTAGGTTACTGTACATCTTGGGTAAAGATGACAGAGATCAGTTCCCCTGGTGAGAAAATGGCTGCCTTTGAAGGTGGGCTCTATGCCATTATAGCCCGCTGAGGTCTTTCCCATCCCTAAACCCACCCTCCTCTAGCCCACCCCCAGCAATTTTCCAATGCAGTGTTGGCAACCCGGTACAGAATTTTAAAAACAGATATCTTTTAACATATGAATGTTAATTTAAAGGCACCCTTTCTTTGTCCCTTTTTAGTGGTTCCTCATTATATTTATATGCCACCTTTTAATTTTAAAAAAATCCCAAGGTAGCTCAAAGCAGTAGTCTCTCTCTCTCTCCCTCTCTCTCTCTCTCTCTCTCCCACACACACAAACTCCATAACTGTGGTAATAAAAATTCAAAACTTTTGAAACACTTATTCCCAGATCAGTTTTACTGCCAAGCCACAGCTCTTCCATTTTGTCTGGATTACATTTCAGTATGCTTATCCTCAATTAATCCCTCACTACCTCCAGACACTGGCTGGACATACCCACTGCTTCCCTGGAAAGATTATAGGGAGTTGAGTGTTATCTGCATAATGACTCAATCCACAGCTCTGCATGAAATAGATTATTAGTATGATTCTTCCCTGTGGTGCTTCATTAGCTGACTTGACAAGAAAATCTTGATAAATACTATGGAGAGTAACAAAGGAAACAGTTTTTATTTGAGTGATTAGAATTATTGCCATTCATAAAACCCGGTGGGCATGAATTGTTCTGTTGCTGCATGGAGGACTGGGTATAAATCAGAGAAATGTGGTTAGGTACACGATGGGTTAGATCCAACCAGCTTTTCTGCAGGTGAAAATGGAAAGTGACCACCAAATAGGTTATGCTTAGGATCATGGGAACTGCATGGACAAAACAATGTGGGACAAATGCTGTAGTAATGAAGGGAATGGAGCAAGACTGAATGAAAAAGCTAGCTGGATCCAACCCATAATGCTTCCGAAATATATGGCTTAAGCAGCCATACAAGGAAATGAGTTATATTGAAATCAGTAGGACTTAATCAGTAGGACAATACATATATAGTCTACTGTATACTCTGGTCTGTAAAGCACACAGTTAAGCATTCAGACCCTACTAGTCAGAATGGGAGAGGCATTCTGTACATTGTGTAGAAGGAGGTGGTGGAATGAGCTAATCGGTCTGTACCACTTTAGTATCAACTGTAGCTGAGAGAGGAATTACATTTATGATCTCACCTGTCCTCCCTGCTTATACTAAATTAGCACATCAAAAGAGTCTCCTGTATGCTAACTATATCTCCTTATATATGGCTTACTGCATGCAAATTTTTAAATGGGTGAAGTTCAAATACATTAACCTCCACCTACAGTTTGAATACTGGTACAATCCAGAAGGTCTGATTTAAACAGGATGCTGCCAGAAAGAACTTACTAGTGCTTTGCACATGCCCAGTGGCTTGTTTAAACTGGGCTGCCACCCATGCAAAACAGTTACATGTGCTGCTTTAGTATGCCACCCTGGCTATAAATCTTTACTGAACTAATTTGCGCTTGTCACTGATTTGCACAGGGATGATTCCAGTTTAAACATACTGGGTATGTGCAGAGCTGCATAGATAGGGTTGCCAACTCCAGGCTAGGAAATTCCAGGATATTTTGGGGGTGGAGCCTGGGGAGGGACTTCAGCAGAGAGCCCACCCTCCAAGGCAGCCATTTCCTCCGGGGGGAACTGATCTCTGAAGCCTGGGGATCAGTTGGAATTCCAGGAGATCTCCAGGCCCACCTGGAGGTTGGCAACCTATTCTTTTGCCTTGCCAACCTGCTGTTTAAATTAGTCTCTAGATGTACATGTCACCAACAACGATATGTTAATAAAGCAGTATTTAAATCTTTGAAATAAAAAAGTTACTGATTGCCATCTTGAACACAGAGAAATAGAGATGAGCCCTGAAAATATTAATATTGTATTAAACTACAATACTGTGAGATATCTCACAGGCATAGGAAATGAACAAAATGGTAATGTCTTGTGCAAAATAGTTCTTGCTAAAAATTCATTACGATTGCTAAAAGGACTGGGAAGTTACTTCAGATTGATCTAATAGGAAGTTGGGAATGAAACAATTAACTGGATTCACACAGTTCCTAGAAATAAGGGAAGTATAAGATGGTTTTGAACGTCTTGATTGAAAAGTAGAGTGGATTTTTTTGTAAGTATGGTCTCAAAGGGATGACCGTATAGATCTTTTGATCTTTCTATACAATCTTTCCATTACCTTTTTACAGTGGAGTTCCCCTGTGGGAGAGTTGTGGATTCCCAGGCTTCAATCAGTGGGATGAAAATTAAACTTATTGCAGGAAAAGCTGGAAAAAAGGGAAACAGCCCCTGGCAAGTAAGGAGTTTCAAGGAGTTCTTCAATTACCCACAGTTGCTTCTTTGGGAGGATTACCCTTTTCCTAAGAGTTGGCACAAAACTTCCTACTCAGGCACCCTCCCCCCATGTATGTTGCCACTGTTTGCTAAGGAATATTTTTTCTTGTTTAACCCTCTTACTTGACAGACCAGTTGAGAGCCACCATGCAGGCCTAGACAAAAAAGATTCACTTTGCTCTTGCTCCCAACCTGTTTGTTTCCTCCTCCCCCCTTCCTTCCAAAGAGCAAGATGTTTGAGCAGAATAGGACTACTGTAACACTCTCTGCATGGGGCTGCCTCTGTCGCAAATCCGGAAGCTGCAGCTAGTGTAGAATGCGGCCGCTAGGCTGTTGATGGGTCTCACTAGGTGGGACCACGTCCAGCCGGTGCTGAAGGCGCTGCACTGGCTGCCTATAGCATACCGGATTCACTTCAAAGTGCTGGTTCTTACCTATAAAGTCCTTGATGGCCAGGGTCCAGCTTACCTAAGGGACTGCCTTTCCCCATATGTTCCCCCAAGAGCACTACGGTCAGGGGTGCAACATCTTTTGGTTATTCCAGGCCCCAAGGACATCAAGTTGGCTGCAACCTGGGCCAGGGCCTTTTCGGTGGCTGCTCCTATCTGGTGGAATGAGCTCCCAGAGGAGATCTGGGCCCTGCGGGACCTTATGCAGTTCCGCAGGGCCTGTAAGATGGAGCTCTTCCACCAGGCTTTCACATAGGAGCCGCCACCATTACTGTACCACCACCGAGTTGCCATCTTTGACGGTGGATTCTACCAGGATGTGAGCTGGCCCTAGCAAGACGACCAGACGAACAGAAGAACTGGTTATGAAAGGATGACAGTACTATCCGGAATTTATGTTGATGGGTTATGCTGGTTAATAGAACCCCATCTTGGACTGATAAGAGCTTATTCGCTGTCACTTTGTTTGTGATTGATTGTTTTATTCTGTTTTTAGTTGTTGAATCATGGCGTATGCCTCTTCTGTTAGCCGCCCTGAGCCCGTTTGGGGAGGGCGGGATATAAATTTAATAAATAAATAAATAAATAAATAAATAAATGGTGCTCTAGTGGCACTTTCGTCAACTCCCAGGGCAACCCAGGTTGGCCAGAATTTTTTCACCTTTGTCCCACTCCTCAGCAGTCCTGCCACCAGTAGCATCATGCTACACCACACCCTTTTTGCCATGAAGTCACAGTTGACTTATGGGAACCCCACAGGGTTTTCAGGGCAAGAGACATTCGGAGGGGGTTTGCCATTGCCTGCCTCCCTGGTATTCCTTGGTGGTCTCCCATCCAAGTACTAACCAGGGCCAACCTAGGGCAGATTAACCATTGTGATATAGTGAAGTGTAGTGGGTTAAACGCATGAAGAAACCACTGAGACCGATGTAGTGATCAGCATGGTTTACTGGTACACAACAAAGACAAAGACAAATGGCCGGCTGGCCAACTATATACACACCTGGGGACCAGTGTTCCCTCTAAGCTGAGTTAGTGTGAGCTAGCTCACAGTTTTTTAGCCTCCGGCTCATACATTTTTGTCTCGGCTCAGGAAGGATGGCTCCAGAGCAAACTAATATATGCAGTAGCCAAATCGCTCACTCACAACTTTAATGCCAGCAGCTCACAAAGTAGAATTTTTGCTCACAAGACTCCACAGCTTAGAGGGAACATTGCTGGGGAACACACCCCTAGGTCCCGTTGGTGGGTTTAAATCTCCCGCCACGGTCCCATTGGTCCCCCAGTGGAGAAACCAGGAGCCTAGTCCCCATTGTTCCTCCAGAGTAAAGCTCTGTTCGCTGGCCCCTGGTGGCGGTCAGCGGACACAACATATAGACTATAGTACATGCTAGTCATAGTAGACAAACTATAGCAACTTACTTAGCTTGTGCCTAAGCTCTGGTTCTGACTTCTGTGAAGGGAGGGAACATAATTACTTCAAAGACTGTGTCTGTCTGCCATCCTGATCCCCAGCTGCATCACCGACTCAGAGTTCCGATACACTATGTTTACCTTCAGGAGCAGTCATTAAAAAAAATTAGGCTGAATTGTCAAAGTTAAAAACTCCACATGGAATCATCCTGGTACACCAAAATTCTGCCCAGCATGATGGTTGTTTATACACGAGAGGATATGACATTTACTGACCTCATACATGGACTCCTGATTGGAGAAATCAATCTTGATGGAAATAAGAATTACAATGGAGTCATGTAATGTTTGGTAAATGGCGGGCTTGGGGGTAATTATTCTCTGTTTGATTTAACACAATTGGAACAAGGCAGTTTCTGCCTCTGTTCAGCAGACTTTTGCTCTGCTGTGTTAGTCTGTATGCCTAGATACCTACCTATATAATTTTTGTTGTGTCCTTTCTTCCAGGAGTTCAGGGCATGCTTCTCCTCATTTCCATTTTATCCTGGGTGGTAGGTGAAGCTGAGAGAACATGACTGGCTCAGGGTCACGCAGCAGCCTTCATGGCTGATTGATGGTTTTATCCCAGTCCTGGGCAGAAGCTACTTTCACACATCACTGGATATTGTACAGTTGTTGCAGTCATTCACAGTTTGTCCACACAGGAAAATTTGGTTTCAAACGATTGCTTTATAGCAAAATATCCGATTGGTATGTGAATTTGGCCTCCCATACAAATTTCTATACCACACTGGCAGAGGAGCACAGCTCTGTAAAAAGTGAGAAGAAAACTCTGTGTAATTTATTCCAAGCTATTATCACCAGACAAAGAAAGCAAAATATTAGATGCTGGGGTCTCCAACAGAGTAATGTTGGACATGTGCTGTGAAATAAATAATATGTGAAAAAGAATCATGACCCTGTACCTCTTCTTTTCCATTTCAGGTTATGTTGTTCAATGGAGCAGGGAAATTTAAGTGTGGGGGTGTTCTCATACACCCCACCTGGGTGCTGACAGCTGCTCACTGTCTGGAGGGAGAAGAAATACTCAGACTGAAATTTGGTATGGAAAAAGCCCTGCCTTTCTTTGTAATATGGGACACTTCAATCAACACATCAGGGCTTTGTCTTTCCAGGAAAAGAAACTAATGGGCAGGTCATAGAGACACAGAAGGCCATAGAGACAACCATTAAGACTACCAGGAAAAATTCCAATGGGCTGATAGGCTTATGGCCTCCCCTTTGCTGGGACAACCCTGGCCCCAACTGAGGCGATGAGACTCACCTCACAGAAGGCAGCTCTGTGGGAGGTTAGTGGGAGCTCATGGCCCCAGCAATACATGAGGCAGGTGCAAGCAGTTCTTCTTCCATTTGCCCCTTCTGGGGGGACCTGTGAGGGTGGGGCCCTTTTCCAGGGTAATTTTTCCTCCCAATCTACCCCTGGAGACATAGAGTATGGTCTCATCAGGGCTCAACACTGGACTGAAAAAAAACTAAGAAGAGATAAACCAGCCAGGGTGACAGGTATTAATTCAATTATGAAAGAGCCAAAGAACTAACAGTCTCTTTGTGAGATGTTTTTGATTTACCATCACTTCTTGGAACTAACATAAACATGATTAAATCCAAGCTTGTTTTATTGCTGCTCACAACATTTAACCTGCACAAATCTTTTTTTTTGAACATTATTTTTATTGGTTTTTCACAATAATACATATTCACTTACAATCATTAATACTAATATAATTAATTCTTTGTACTTCACTTAGATTTTACAACGCAACCTAATTCTCAACCTACATAAGTTTTCCTTCTGCACATTTACCAGAGTAAGAACTTACAAATACACACATCCATTAATAATAGCTTTTAAACTTCCCTCTCTCACTTCTCTCTAGACCTTAAACTTCTTCATATTTGCTCCTTTGGGAAAAATTACTCATTAAGTTTCATTTAATTCCAACTTTCAAACACTTTTCATGTTATTTCATCATCTTCCTTATTTCCTGTTTAGTTCCTTTAAGTTTCAGTCAAAGTTTATCTGCCATTTAGACCTACTACAATACTTATAATTGAATGCTACCCTATTGCTTCTTAACTATTTCCCCTTCCGGGGTTCCATTATTAGTTTATCCCTAGGTAAACTCCTTGTCTTCATCAGATCAGTTCAAGTCCATTCCACACCCTCAGATACAGCTAGCAGAAACCAAAAATGCATTAAGGAAAATAATAATAAATCATGACAGCTTTGATACACAGTCCACCATACTCAGATCATTTCATTCGATTCCACCACCCTTAGCTTCATATCCTTTCACCTCATAAATAATCATCCAATTCTTCTACTCTACCCTTTCCATTATGAGTCATAGTTACCACACATAAGCATATCATTCTAACTCAATTTATATCCATTTGTTATTTCTTATACTCAAAGCACACCATACTTGTTTCCAATATTCACTTTCCAAAAATCACATCTAAGCCTGCAAAACCCCAAAAACATATTAAGGGTAATACAAAACAAACCAAATTACTTTTAGTGACCATTTTTATCATGCTCACTTCATTTCATTCCACCACCCCTAAATTCATAAACCAACAAAACCCAAAAATATATCAAGGGTAGTATAAGACAAACCAAATTAATTTTAGTGACCATTTTTATCATGTTCACTTCATTTTCTTCCATCACCCCTAAATTCCTACCTTTTACTTTATATTCTAATAAATAAACTTCTAATTACTTTAATCTATTATGTCTTTTATGCATCATTATTCCATTTACAAACATAAGCAAATATAATCAAAACATGTATAAATTCCATATAATTTAATTTGTCTTCTGTAACTTCGTAACTTTTTGTCCTGTAGTAGTTTATCTGTGTGCTGTCTCTCTAACTTGTCTATGTGCTGTTTCTCTTTGCACTGCTGGTAGTTCATTTGCATTTTCACTCTCTCCTCAGTTTTTTTTTTTTTAAGTCATATCTCCATTCAATTTTGTCCCTTTTAAGTCTCCTCTCATATCGTCCTTGTCTGTCTTTTCTCCTTTTCTCCTTTTTTACAAGTGGGATTCTATACTTCTGTCCCCTTCCTCTTGTCTTCTTCCTTTTCCCTTGTCTCTTCTCAACTCTTTTTATTTTCCTCCCTTGACTTGGAGATTGGAGACATAATAGTTCTGAGTCCTCCTTTCTTTCCTGAGACTCACCAATCTCTTCCAGGTTCCATATGTGTGACTCTAGGTTTTCGGCTTTATTTGTTACAATAGGAGTTTCATATAAATTTGCAAAGGCTTGTTTTATTCCTTTTTGTATTCCTTCTTTTATGGCTTTTTGTAGTTCTTCTTTTAAAGCCTCTAGAAACTGTTCTGCTGACATATCTATCACTAATATATTTTCCTCCAACATCTCTTCCGTCACTTTTCCCCCTGTAGATGCCATTTCCTACACAGAGTCCATTCAGCTTTCCAACTGAAACTTACAAGCTTGCTAACAGTCAATTAACAGAACTGGGGGACAGAGAACTCTCAGTATATAAATCCTTTCCCACAGAAGCAACAAATATTGCCCCAGATAAGAAAAAATAAGCATATAGTACTCAGCCTCTCTTTGTCTGGCCGCTTTATTTTTCCTCTTTTCGCTGACCGTTTTTGGGGCGACATTTTCCTTACAGATGCGTGCACTAACAGTTCTTGAAGTTTTCCTTACTTTGTTGCTTGTAATCCAACAGAAAAAATTACATATGGTTAAAAACAGGACGGAAGGCTGCAGCTACGGGGAACATGGCGGCCATGTTCCCCTCCACTGATCCGTGTCTGCTTCGGGGCGGGCGGTGGACATCCCCCCGCCTTGCCAATAGTGGGAGGGGCCACCACAAAGCCCCCTGCCCCAGATCTCTCTCCGGGAGATCTGGCAGGACTATCCCGGAGACCGGGAAAGCCCCAAAAGACGCGAAAAGGGAATCGGGCGTCGGAGCGCAAATGCGCCCCGCCCGTCGCTGCGCCGCGCCGCCGGAAGTCATCTATTTCAACCTGCACAAATCTTAAAGCATCTATAGCCATTTCCCACTATATCAAATCTTTTAAACTCAGTTTATACAATAAACAGAATTAAGTAGAAAACCTTTCCTGGACTAGGATTTAGGATGCAGATGTATATGAGAAAGAGTGAGTAGGCTGGAGGAATGATGAATGCTCCATCAGAAGCATGAGAAAATCCCTACAAATAGACAAATAGTGCATCAGAGAAAAGCCTGGCTAAACCTTTTTCTCTGGCTTGCTAATTTTCTATAGACAGTTTAGGATGCAACCAAATCAAATCAACCACTAAAACCTAAGTCTGAAAAAGGAGAGTAAGTGAAGTCTTTTAACACTTGAGCTAAGGCCCACAAACATTTTGGCTGGTAAATTCTGATGCACTCAACCCTTCCTCCTACCTGCTCCTTTCATACGTACCCAACAAGGCAATGATCAGACTCTTGCCTGCTTGGCGGTCCTATCTCATTCTGGATGCAAGCACCCTCTCCCCCCCCCATTCAGGTTATGCGTTTTTGTGCTCAAGCTTCACCATCTCAAGTTCAATATAATGCAAGATTCTGTTGGATGTATAAACCAGCCCTTTGACTTTACTCTGCAAAAAAGCATATAGTCACCACTTTCCAGTGCTGGGTTTCATATTGCTTACTCTGGAATTCAGGAAAGGAAAGATGACTCACAATCCACACAAACACTAGGGGTGTGCAAGGAATTTTTTTTTAAATTTGGGTATATTGGACCCAAAAACGTTGGTATTTCCCAATATTCCTGAATCCCATTTGGGTTTGGTAATATTCAGGAATCTCAATTTTTTCCAAGTCCATCATACCCTATGGGGACCATTAAAATCAATGGCAAATCTATCCCAGGGTATATTCAGTGGTCGGGGGGGGGTGTATTTTGAGGTTAAGGCACCAAATTTGCAGCATAACTGCTGGAGCTTCTCCTCAAAAGAACCCCCAAGTTTCAAAAAGATTGGACCAGGGGGTCCAATTCTATGGGCACCCAAAGGAGATTTCCTCATCTGCCATTGTTTCCAATGGGGGGGGGGGAATAGCAAGGCAATACAAGCCCAGCAGAGTGGCCCAGAGAATTTCTGCAATATAAAGTGAAGGGGTGTGTGTGCAAGGCCAGCAGCAGAACCAGTGCAACATGCCCAACAGAACCAGTGCCACTGTGGCAGTGCCAAAACTCAACAGGACTAAGGTCAAATCTGAGAATCTCTGAAGTAGAAACTGAGAGGGGGCATTTCTGCAGAACCAGTGCAATGTACTAGTGCCCAGCAGCAGAACCCAGTGTCAACTTACCAATGCTCAGCAGCAGGACCCAGTGCCATTGTGGCAAATGCCAGCTCAATAGGGCTGATGTCAAACACAGAATCACAATCCAAGCTAGGGGGAGGGGGTTTGCAAGGACAGCAGAATCAATACAATAGTGCCAAGCAGCATAATCCAGTGCCAACCTACTAGTGCCCAGCAGCAGAATCAGCAGAACCTTTTTAAAGTTTAAGGCTGTTTATTAAACTTCTCCTGACTTGATTCTATTGGGACAAGCCTGATTCCCTTTATGGAAATGCAGGAGCTCCCTCCTGAAAACTGAAAAACTACAGGACAATCTAAAGGGAAATTCATCTAAAAGCGCATGCTTTCACTGAAGCTCAGAGCACCGCACACTGCTTTTTAAAATTTTAATCTAGGCTATTATACCACTGTTTTGAAGACACATACAACTTTGCCTCTTTTACTATCCTCATAGCACTGGCCTAGTTAGGGAGAAACTAAAGCCCTGTTCTGAAATTTAATTAAAAGTGTTTAAAAGTTAAACAATTCCTAAAACAGACCCTTATTACTAAAAGCCTATTTAGCAACACCAAAACATTGTACTCAGTAGCCCTCGAAACCAGAAGCACACACTTGGAACACAGAACAGTGAATCTCAACACCCCCCTTCCCCCAAAAAAACAACCTTCTAGAAACTAAAGGGAACAAATACAGGGGGGGGAGGACTACTGGAGGGAAAGGTGAGGAAAAGATAGAATAGAAAGCAAGAAGAACCTAAACCAAAAGCCCCTCCACACACACACACACCAGTCCAAAAAAAGAAAAGAGGAAAAAAGCAGAGAAAACAAGCAACAAAGCCTCCCTCCCAACTCCCCCAAAAAAAGAGAAACAGAAGAAAAAACAGTGAAGGATAGTGAAGGGGAGACCAGAAGATATTATAGATAATGAAGATATGAATATGACGTGGTGGGAAAAAAGACAATTGTTATCAAGATGCTCAATTGACAAAAAAACCGGGTTTTATGAAAATCAGACTGAATTAGATAAAATATGGCTAGGTAAGGAAGACAAGTTTATAAAAAAGGCCTATAATTTCTGGCTTGAATGTAAGATGCAAGACGAATGGGTAAAACCCTCAATGATTGCATGGGCTAGAGATATAGGAAGTAATTTGACCTTTGAACAATGGGAAAAGGTTTGGGGGGGAAATGTAAAATTTGTTAGATCAAGTGCATATAAAGAGAACATCATTAAAATGTTTTACAGATGGCACATCTCCCCGGCAAGGTTAAATAAATACGACAAGAGAATTTGAAAGAATTGCTGGAAATGTAAATATAGTGATGGAACATATTTCCACTTATGATGGTTATGTAGTAAAGCTAAAAAATATTGGACTATGGTAAAAGAGATTATTGATGAGATATTGACTAAGACAGTATCACTATCACCAGAATGTTTTTTATTAAATTTTATAGCGGATACTTTTAAGAAAAATGAAATATACTTATGATGCAGATTATTACAGCAGCCAGAATCTGCTGTGCTAGTAGATGGGAAAATGAGGAGATTCCTACTAGAGAAGAAGTGATTTCTAAGATATTTGATGTGGCGGAGATGGAGAAATTAACTTTTACTTTACAAGAAAAGGGTTATGAAAATGTTGATAAATATTGGTTTAATTTTTATAGGTGGTTAAAAGAGAGAAACTAGCTGAAATTAGCTGAATTTAGTTGAATTTGATTGAAATTTAAATGAAATATATACATAAATATACAAAAGCATTCAAATTTTATTTATTTATTATATTTATACCCCGCCCATCCCACAAGCAGGCTCAGGGTGGGATGTTATGGCAAATAAGTAAACAATGGTGGAATTTATATATTCCTTGAAAAGATGGAACCTATCTGCAACCAAATGTAGTATATTAAGATGGAAAATCTTTTCTGATGTATATTTTTTCCTTTTTCCTTTGTCTCATCTTTTTTTAAAAAAATTGTTAAACACAAATAAAGAGACTGTTAAAAAAGGATAGTGAAGGGGAGAGGGGGAGAGAGGGATAGGAAGGAAGGGAGAATGAATTCAAGTAAAATAAAAGATTTTTTTAAAAAAACAAGCAGAACCCCCACACACAAACCCCCAAAAAGAACCAAAAATGAATAAGTTAATCAGGTTTTAAACCAACTCTCTTGGCCTCCCTCCACACACATACAGTCTACCACCAGGCCCAAACAACAACAAAACTCTACAAAAAACTGCAAGCCATAAAACCAGAAGGAACTAAAACCTAAGAATACAACCAAAGGGAACAAAACAAAGAGGCCTAAGGCCCTTGGCCTCACTCGCCCCACAGACACACAACCTACCACCCGCCAAGCCCAAAGAACAACTAATAATAAAATAAGAAAGCTTTTAAAAAATGTTGTTCAGTCAAACCGATCACTGTCTTCACTCTTCTCCAGGAAGGCAGGATCTGATCCGGTCCACAGCAGAGTCTCTCAGGCAGCAGGAGTCAGGCTTAGAGCAGCAGCTGAAGCCAAAGCCAGTGCACACTCTCCAAACCTCTCTCAGCAGTGGAGTCTAGCTCAGCAAGCCACTTGCTTTTATGCTCTTTGCCCATGCACAGAAGAATTTTAAAAACAACCTTTTTTTAAAAAATAAGCATTTTATTTTTTGTATAAGACAAACACAAAATAAACTAACAAACATACAACAAAAAAGGGGGGGCTTCCGTTTCAACATTAATTTGTCTGTTATGTTGCCTCATACAATACCAAATTGTATGTTTTTTAATTTTTTCCACCTTGTATTTTAAAATATGTCCTTATTTATATCTAAAAAAAGAGTTGTCGTTCATATTTTCTTGTATTTCGGTTGTATATCCACATAATTTATTTGTTGGTCCATTTGTAAAGTCTTAACCATGTATCCTCAAAGGTTTCTTCATTTTGTCCAAAAAAAAAAAAAGAACAAAGAACAAACTTCTTTGATTGGTAAAAAGTAGTCTTCTCTCTAACCTGAAATTCTATTTGTCAAATTGCCACTGCTTCTTCCCCCCTCTCTCCTGTTCCCTGGGGAATGGGTGGGGAAAGCAAGGTCATTACTTAGTTGGACTTCACATTTGAAGCCAACAACCTTGCAAGTTACAAACCAGCAAAGCAATGCCATTTGCAAAAGCATTGCAATGATTGGCTCAAAGGCACTACAGCTCCCCTAAGGTGCTTTTGCCATTGGGCTGCAGAGATGCCTCTTCCCCCTCCCTCCTGTTGCCTTGAAAACCAAAGTAAAAGGTGGGACAGAGCCTTAGAGGAGACCTGAAAGTTAACTTTGTAGCTCTTTAAACCTCTCCACCACCAGCTATTTGGTATAGCCAAATATACCCCCAAAACCTGGGAAAATTCAGCTTTATACAGGATCAGCTATACTGGTAGCTGGTCGGATTCTCTTATCTGTATTCAGCTTAAAAATACCCGGAAAATACCGGTAAGGTATTTCTGGTTATTTTTTCGGCTTCAAATTCACACCCCTACCACACACACACACACACACACACACACACACACACACACACACACACACCTTTTAACAGTTCTACTTAATTGTTTTGAGGGGGGAGAGTAGGCTTGGATTCCTGAGGACAGTACCCTCTCTTTGTTTTCTTGTTGCCCTTACAGGCAAATACCATCGCTGGCGAGTAGATGATGGCGAACAAGCTATCTTCACTGACAAGCTTGTGCCTCATGAAAACTACACCAAGAGTACCTCTGATAATGACATTGCACTGTTGCACCTGGCCCATCCAGTGTTCTTCAACAAGTACGTGCTGCCCATATGCCTACCTGTCAAGAACCTTGCAGAGCAGGAGCTGATGAAAGAAGGGACACAAACAGTGGTGACTGGCTGGGGCACCCAGAGCGGGAACTCTGCAACTAACTACAGCTCTGTCCTCAATTATATTGAAATCCCGGTGGCACCTCGAAATGCATGTGACCATGCTATGCGGAGTCCAGTCTCAGATAACATGCTATGTGCAGGGATCTTAGGAGATAAGAGGGATTCCTGTCATGGGGACAGTGGCGGTCCAATGGTCACTCAGTTCAAGAATACCTGGTTCCTAGTCGGGCTGGTGAGCTGGGGAGAGGGCTGCGGGAAACTTGATAACTTTGGAATCTACACAAAAGTCAGCATTTACCTCGAATGGATTTATCAGCAAATAAAAACACCACAAAAACCTATGTCTGAAAAAAGATCACTTTGATAATGTGCCCAGCAATCATATGCCCAGTGTCTTCTGCTAATAAATACAGAGTATACCACATAAAAGTGTGCTGCTTTCCTTAATTATTTCCTCACTGTGTATGCCACAGTTGGGCAGAAGGTAGACCATGGTCTTCAGTGGACCAGTTTATGGTGGATCGCCTTGTCCCCACCAGTTGTCCTTATTCTTACAAAGAGTGCCAGATTGATCCAGCAAAACACTTCTTAAGCCTTTAAAGTATGCATATGTAGGTGGACGCAATACAGATTAATTATCCTTTAAGAGATGTATTTATTTAAAAGATTTCTATGCCAACTTTCCATCCAGTTTAAGATCCCCAAGGTCAAAAACATTAAAACAAGCAAAAACTTAGCATAAAAACAACCAAAAAACAACACCTAAGCAAACCACATACAAAGTTAAAACATTTATACAGGGAGGAGTGTCAATGAGGGAAACGAAACAGATAAAATCTTCACCTGCTGGTGGAAGACAATGATAGAGGCAGACAGATGGATCTATCTGGGGAGAGAATTCTGTAATTTTGGTGAGCAGGGCCTTTCTCAGGTTGCTGCCATCTAGCTGTAGACACCTGAGGCACCCAAAGAAGAGCCCCTGAAGTTAATTGCAGTGGTTGGGTAGGTTCATGAGTAGGTGGTCCTTAGGTTATGTTGTTCCCAAGCCATATAGAGCTTTAAAGTCACTTGCACTTTGAACTCTTCCTTTGTAAATCTAGAGATTCTAGGTGTCTTTTTAAAAATTCCAGCCACTCCTGATATGCACACACAACAGAATGCATTATTGTTTATTTATTCTCATTGATATCATTGTTTTTTATTGATTTACTGTTTGACGTGTGAGTTGACTCAAGCGGGTTTGGAGAGGTGGCATACACATTTATCTAATTGCAAGTAGATAAATGGGTACCCACCCTTAGAGGGGTGGGGGGCACCCTGTATGGTCGGTTGAAGACGGCGGCGGTGGCGGTGATGATGGCGGCAGTGAGCATCGATTCGGTGTGGACGGCGTGGCGGCGGCAGGCGGGCGCAAGTGGAGGAACGCAGCCGAGCGATCCCTGGTGGCCAAGCGAGAGTACACCGAGTGCTGTCGTCGAGAGGAAGGTGGCGTGCGAGGACGCCGAGCACCGGCTCAAGCGGAGCCGGAAAGGACGTTGCTGGGCCGGAAGCAGGCGGAGCCTCGCACCTTAGAAAGAAGACAGCCACTTCCGGAAACGCCGGGAAAAGAACACCCGCCAGTCCAGAGACCCGACCCGAGCCGACAGTAACAGCAACAACAACTACAACCACCACCATAGGGGGTGCCGGTAGGTTGCCCCATCCCCATATACATACTGTGGCCATAGTTAGGGAAAAACGGTGATTAGCACCAAAAATCTGTAAGCCGCTCAGAGACCTCTAGACAAGGGGTTCGAGCGGGATATCAAATCGAATGTATAAATATAAATAAATAAATAAATAGAATGTATACAACACAGTACCTGAACTGTTTGCTGAGGGGCAGTCCATGAAACTAGATACAGTGGTTTAATATGAAATACTTGCTTGAGATTTTTGGTGGCCAACTCATACTGGATTTTACTTCTCTCACAAAAACCTGAGCTAATGTTTTGGGATATGATTTTAATGAACTAGGATTTGTTTGGAGTTTTTCTTGGGGTTTTTTTTATATAGAATGTGTTGCTAAATAATATTGAAATATCGTGTATAACAATATTAATTGCCTCTCCACTAAAAGCACCCACAAGAGCCCCTCATCATTAGAATCATTATAGCAGATTAAGGGGGGAAGTCAGTCCTCTCAGAGGTAAGAGTTAAGCAGGTAAGTTCTTTGTGCAGAGACTCCTTGGCGTTTTCCAGATTGCAGCTGCCTTTCGGGTTTTCTTGGATATCATGGTAACCTGATGATCACGCTATTGGTGTGATCAGTTCACACTTACATGGGTTTTTTTTGGTTGTTCCCCCCCCCCATTCCTTTACCTGACTTTCATCAGCTACACAGCTCCAGTGGTATATCTAGCATATTTGACATCTGGAGTGGATAATTTTTTAACACCCCTCTCCTCTATACAACAAAATTGTCCAGGTCAGGGCTTAAGTGGGCTTATTCCCAATGAACTCAGTGGGGTTTACACTCAAGTAAGCATGTCTGGAGAAGGGCACTTCCAGAATGAGCCTGCCCTGGTCTTCAGCACCTGTGCCCTTTATTGAGGGAGAGGCTCCATGACAGCCCCCTCCTCACTTTACTCTGCCAAGCTGCCAACTTTGTGTGGAGTGGTGGCTGATATCCCAAGAGAAGCTCTGCATTTATGCACACAAACACCCACCCCTCTGGATGGGTCTTTGGCCAAACAATATTCTTTTGTGCTTCCATTAGGACTGAGGGCTCCAGGCTTTTGACATGAGATAGTCCCTGAACACCCTGAAATTTGCTGCCACCAGTGCATGCATAAGATAGATCAGGCTTCAGAGAAAATAAATGGGCAGTGATTGGCTGCTGGTGTCGGGCTTCCCAATGGGACTGACCATTTGTTTCAGCACAGGTGCCTTCCAGCACTGAAAAGTTTCAGCGCTGCCATGTAAATATATATTTTTTAAGTTTTCCACCCAAACCCACCCTTTCTGGGTAGATTCTGGGCAGCAATCCATGAGGTGGGGGGAAATGTTCAGTTTCTGAGCAAGAGGCTATTCTGTACATTCATTCTACAATGGGGAGGGGGGGGAAGTACGGGAAAAACTAGGTTGGAAAAAACAGGGGGGGAAAGGGTGAGGAAAGCCAGGATAGTACGGGAATGTTAATGAAGTTTTCTGGATGCAAGAAGAAAAATAGTAACAGCGAGGAATGAAAATGGAACATTAAGGCAATCTGAACAACGCCCTTGTCATCATCTTCATTCACTGTATCACTCATGCACCCAGTCACATTCACACAACCTACCTCAAAATGCATAAACCCAGAAGTGACATCACCACATTGGCATGACACTCTACCATAGAATTACCATAGAATTTTTTGGAGGTGGGATCCTAGAGCATCATGCTGACACAGTGACATCATGTCAACTTTCCTCTCCATCCCACCCCAGCACCCTGCCGAGCACCAGCAGGGACAGTGGGAGGGAGACCTGGTAAGCTGCATGCAACCAACCAACCATTTATGATCGCCACCTGCCATAAGCTTGATTGCACCTCCATTTTTGCTGCCTTCCTAGGACAGAAAAAGTGTGCTGTAGAATCCTACAAACACTCAGGAATATGTTGAGGGTTGTCTTGAGTAAAACCAGTTTAACTGTATTCAGAACAAAGGAACCCAATGCCTACTGGAGTCCTTCACAGTAAGCCTAGTCAGCTTACCCAGAGCCATAGGTAGAACCTGAGTTGGAACTGCTCCAGATCTGGTACGCTGGAACTAATGAAATGGGCTTCAGACTGAGTATTATAACTTACAGATGTGTTTGGGAGTGAGCAAGTAGGTTTGTGAAGAAGCTACCAGGCCCCAATATGTGACTGATGGGCTGAATCTGGCTTGGTTAATCACAAATTGCACAAGCCTGGTTTGGGGATTGCTTTTCATACTCATCATAGGGTTCCCACCCTCCAGGTGGGGCTTGGAGATCTCCTGGAATTACATCTGATTTCCATACTACAGAGATCAGTTCCCCTGGACACTGTGGCATTATACCGCTCTGAGGTCCCTCTCCTTTCCAAGCTCTGACCTCCAGAGACTTCACCTCCCAAATCTCCAGGAATTTACCAACCTAAAGCTGGCAGTCCTACCTAGGGTTACCAACCTCAAGGTGGAGCCTGGAGTTTTCCCAGAATCCCCAGACTACAGAGATCAGTTTCTCTGGAGAAAATGGCAGTATTGGAAGGCAGACTCTGGCATTTATATGCCCACTGATCTCCCTCCACAAGCTCCACTAACAGATGTGAAGGCTCAGAAAGAAACCAGAAATATTTGTATGTGAATTAATTCACAAAGTCGCACAGAACCGATATTACCCACATGAGCACAGAAAAGGCTTTCATGCTTACATGTGGATTTTATCGTGCTGAGTACCTCTTGCCTCCTACGATATTCCACAGGTAGAACACTCTTATAAACCTTCTTGTGTTGGCTTTTCCAAAGTTTAATTCAAGTCTGCATGTAAGAAAGTTTGCCTTTAATGGAAGCATTATAGTAAGGAATTTGAACAAAAACAAACAAACAAATTTGCTTAAATATATAAGAATTCTGGGGCTATCCATTACACCAAAGATGAATCCACCCAATTAATTCATTCTCTTCTTCCTCTCCCTTCCAAATATTATTTTTTTCTGCAGTCCAGTAATCCAAAGTATCTAGGAAAAGCAGAAGGTCTAGAAAGTCAATGAATAACCATGATTGGGGTTGGAGCTGGAGAGAGGAAAGTACAATTGCCTTCTGGAAAATAGTCCTGCTGCTTCCACAGATTAGTTGTGTAGAGAGTTTAGTGGTAAAGTTCGCAGCATCTTTAGGAGAATAAGTACTGCAATGGCTAAAAGGTCCTCCAGTCAGCAGACTTGCCACAAAAGTGTGAATAATATAAGCACAGTGCTATAGTTATTCTAATGGAATGTTAAGATAGAATTGCCTTTTGTGTTTGTTTTAATTAAATGAAATTTCTTTGGGCTGGAAAGCTGACGTACCATGGCCTCTTTGTCAATATTTGTACTAGATTAATAATCAACAGTTAAATTTGCACCATATTCTTTGGTGTTGATATAAATTGCGCTTCATCCTTCCTAATCAGGTAAGAGAACATGGTCTTTCTATATTATGATGAATTGGGGCTGTTTCTTTTAGGAAAGGAACGTTGATAACTTAAGGTCATCACCAGGACTCTTCATGTCCATCTTTTCCCTCAGAATCCATACTGCTCCATGTGGGGGGGGGGTCAGGTTTCAGTTGTTGGATGCCTTTAACCTGTAAATTTTGGGAGTTAAATAAATGTTCCCCATCATCTCTACTCCAATCAAATTCAGAGCCCCCTTCAGCCCCAAGAAGGTGAAATAAAAATCTCAGGCAATCCAGTCATGGGTCTCCTGTATAACAGGTAGTTTGGCCCTTACTTGCTTGATGACATCTAGAATCTAGAACAACTAGTAGGAAGAGAATAGACAAACCCAGCCAATCTGATGCCTCCCATCAAACAGGAGAGATGGCAGAGTGGGCTTTTATCTGCTCTGATCATTGCTGCAAACCCTTAGCAATCCAGGCAAAGTGTTGTATTTGGATTTGGACTAACTCTCCAAACAAATGCTCCTGTCTCCCGGTGTGCAGATTTTGCTGTACATGCAGATCACCTGAGCTGTTATTCCAGTGCATTTACTTGCTTGGTTTGAGAAAATACTTCATGTCTGTGAAACCTACTTGGCCTTTCATTTCTTTATTTCCGTTTCCCCCTCTCCTCTCTCCCCTCTCCTCACTGCCTCTATCCCTCATTCTCTCTCATGTCACTTGCTTCAAGTGAGATTCTCACTCTCTCTCATCTCACTTGCTCACTCTCTTCTTCTCTGTGTAGGTGACCTGCTACAAAACTATCAGATTCTACGCATTTGGCCTGTAGAATGGTTGAGAGTTCCTTGAGTGTGACCTTTCTTTTACTAATATGCTCCTTCTACAACTGTCTAGCATTTTCATTTTCAGGTAGGTACTTATTAATCACAAAATGAAGTTCTGACTGTAGATTCAAACACCAGCTGATATGTTCATATACCTAAATAAGAGCTAGCACCCATTATTGTAGGTATTCTATCTCAAATCAGTTTGTAGCTTCCATGTCTTACCTATGTCTTTCCTGTCCTGAGATTAAGTCTGGGGTTGAATCCCAGTCAAATATTTGCAAATGTGCTACCACAACACGTCCTTGTATTTTATTTTTATAAGCAATCACTTCATGTTTACTTCCCTTCATTTCTTCAAGTCTATGAATAGGTTGGATTCAAGAAGCAGGGTTCATAATGGCATCACTCTGTTTTCATAGTTTTCATGAGACCAGAAGAGGCAAACCAGGTTCTGAGGATTCATAAACGTGCCAACCACTTCTTGGAGGAAATTCTCTCCGGAGATCTGGAAAGAGAATGCATTGAAGAAAAGTGTTCTTTTGAGGAGGCAAAAGAGATTTTCAAATCACAGGAGAAAACAGTGAGCTGATTTTTCAGGAAACCTAAATCTAGAGTTGGCACCTGTGAGATACAGGGAAGAACATTTTCTCTATGCATCCCAAAGTGTTTTGAATCACAAGATCAAGCAACCACAATAGCCTACTGCCCGACTCATATGGATTGGTGTTGTTATTTGAAAATGTATAAGATATCACTAAATAATTCTTTAAAAACACTGATTAGATATATAGAAGCCAGTAATATAAGATAGCATCTGATGAAGTGCCTTACAAAAGCTTATGCTGGAATATTCCAATGCTACTGACTAACACGGCTATCCGTGTGGAATTAGAAGCCAGTAAGAAATCTGAACTGTTATATAGTTATATATAGCCACCCTGAGCCCGTTCGCGGGGAGGGCGGGGTATAAATACAATGAAATAAATAAATAAATTATATCTGAAACTTTTTTTTAGCTACTTGGCACTGTCCTCCCCTCACCATAAAGCAGGCTGGTTGGTCCAGCTTTGCACCAGTTCCACAATTCCTATGGGGTCTCATACTAGAAGGCTGCTATGGTACCATTGTGCTATGTAGACAGAGCAAGATGTTCAGGCAAATGTTTTGGGTAGGATACTGGCCTAGGCAGAATGTGTACAGCAGTCTATAGGAGCAGGATGTTTCAAGGCATGATTCTGAGTGGCTTAAATTAAATTAATATACAGAATCACTTATCTATTATAGCTTAATATTAAAAGGAGGGGGTCCCCAGATAGAGTCCTTTGACTAATTTACCAATTTTTTGTAATTATTTTGCAGATGGAATTTTGGTTTGATTACAAAGGTAGGAGGTTATCTTCGTTTGTTTTTTTCTATTATGGGTAACCGAGAGCTAATGTGAAGGCTTCCAAAGAATTTTCCATTTCTTTCTTTACTCTAGAAAAGCATATTGTCTTTTAGACATAAAAAGTTAAAATACAAAGGAACAGAATATTCCTGAATTTATGAGAAAAATTAATACATTTTTAAAAGCATAAATTAAAATATACACACTTAACAGGCTTGCTTCGTGATTATCCTAATACTGAATGAATAGCGATAGTTCAAATTTTAAGAGCAGCCACAGTGATGCAAATTTCATTATCTTCTGATAACCACCTTTATTGTAACAAATGTCAGTGTTCAGATTATCACATAGTTTGTCATTTGTCTCTTGCACTGATGTTTATCACATGACATTTCTCCTCTTCCAAACAGATTTAAACCCCTGCAAAGAGAATCCCTGTAAGAATGGTGGAGTCTGCAAAGTTAGGTTTTACCAACGTTCCTGCATTTGTCTTCCTGGATTTGCCGGGAATGAGTGTGAAATAGGTGAGCAGGAGTAATAGATTAATTTTTACATAGTAGGTTCAGGAGCTCTTGTACCTTGGTTATTACAGCAGTATTATGACAATACTGTGCTTATTTACATTTGTATCTAGTACATTTGCATTTTACCCTTCCTCCCCTCCTTTATTTTGTTCTCAAAATAGGTAGGCTAACAGTGTCTAAACGAAGGTCACCCAATGGGCTTCATGGGACAGAAAGAACTTGAAACTGGGTTTTCCAGATCCTAGGCTGACACTTTAACCACTGCACCAGCCCATTTTTCCTGTTTCCCAAAGTGGCAAGGGGTTCCAGGGGCAGTGATGCCCAAGTATAGTTTTCTTTGGATGAGATGACACTGGAAATTTTATGGTCTCATTGCAATATGTGCTTTATTTACAAACTAGGAATAAGGCCCATTGTGGAAATAAATATAACGAGCTCTAGAAAGAGGCTCTGGGAGAGTGCCAAGACCTTGGGCACTCAGGGTCAATGTGCTGTGGCAACCTCAGCAGGGTATAATGACACAGAGTCCACCATTTTCTCCAGAGGAGCTGATCTCTGCTACCTGAAGAGCAGTTGTAATTTTCAGTGCTCTCCAGCCCTCACCTGGAGATTGGCAACAATTGTTACCCAGGAAGAAATGGCTGGTTTGGAGGGTGGAGTCTATGGCATTGTACCTGTCTGAGGTCCCACCCCTCCTCAAACCTCACCCTCTCCAGGCTCCACCCCTCAAATCTGTAGGAATTTCCCAACCTGGAGTTGGCAACCCTATTTCCTTCCCAGCCAAGCATCAACTTGCCATTATCTGCCCCTCTGATTTCAGCTTTGCGTTTCCTCCCCCCTCTCTCCTGGAGATCAGTTGTAATTCTGAGTGATTTCCACCCCTCTCCTGAGATTGGCAACAGTGGTTCCCCAGAAGGGAATGGCTGGTTGGGAGGATGGAGTCTATGACATTGTACCTGTCTGAGGTCCCACCCCTCCTCAAACCTCGCCCTCTCCAGGTTCCATCCCTCAAATCTCCAGGAATTTCCCACCTGGAGTTGGCAATCCTATCTCCTTCCCAGTCAAGCATCAACCTACCTTTATTTCCCCCTCACTCTTCAACTTTCCATCCCCCCCACACACACCTGCAGCCTCTTCCATGCTCTGAAGCCCTGACTGCCACAAAGTCCATCTTTTTCTGTGCTCTAAAGCCCTGACTGCCACAGAGTCCACCATTTTATCCAGGGGAACTGATCCCTGCCATCTGGAGAGCAGTTGTAATTCTGAGTGATCTTCAGCCCTCACCTGGAGATTCGCAACAATGGTTTCCCAAGAGGAAAAGTAGTCTTTCTCTGCAATGGGGACCAAAGCAGCTTACATCATTCTCCTCTCCCCCTTGCACAACAACCCTGTGAGGTAGGTTAGGCTGAACGTGTGTGACTGGTCCAAAATCACCCACTCAGCTTCTACAGCAAGAACCTGGATCTAGCTGACCCTGCTCTGAAGCACTGACCGCTACGCCTAGGGCAGCCAACCTCCAGGTGGAGCCTGAAGATCACCAGGTATCACAACTGAACTCCAGACAACAGATCTCCCCCCCCCAGATAAAATAACTGCTTTGGAAGGTGGGCTGTATGGCATTCTGTTCAGCTGAGGCCTCTCCCCTCCCTAAACCTTGGCTTCCATAGACTCTACCAGAAAATATCCAGGAATCTCTCTACCTGGAGCTGGCAACCC